CAACAATGAGCCCTCTTGCACGGATTAAAATCGCTATGCGGGGGTCCACTGTATAGTGCCAAAACAAAAGCATTCACATTGCTGAACTCACAAACTAGTATTTAGTCACTTAGCCATAATACCAACTTACCTCATAATTTTGTAATATTTTAAACTTAAGATTTAATTTAAGTCTGCCCGAAATGCCTAGCCATGCTAGGTGTTCTAGTGGTACACTCTGTTATTATTATTTTACTACATGTAAACCACACAATAACCAAATTCTGTAAACTCAGCATTGTAATCCTTACAGAGAATAAACTTTGAATTGATATCATTTGTTAGAATGGAAGACATACTAATGAAATAGTGATGATTTTGGGTGTTTCCAGGACTGGAAGTAGCTTGAAATTAACCTCAAAATAGCAGTAGTATTCAATTTGTGTCAATTTTCCAGAGGACGGGTGAGGCATCCCCTACACCTCCCCTTTTCTGTTATGGGTTTTTACTATGATTCAATTATATAAGATGCTGTAAACAATGACCAATCATTCCTGGTTATATTTTATCAACCAAGAAATAGGTTAAATCTTCTATTTTTTGTGTGATGAAAGATGTGTCCTCAGGCAAGGCCTGAGGACTTTATTAATGAACAGAGGAAATGTTGCTTTATTGCTTGGAATGCCTAGTGTTAATTTTGGACTCTAACCCTTTCAGGGTCGACAGGCCCTCTCAGAGACTTGTTCTCAGGGTCGGCCAAATTAAAAAAAAAAAAAAAAAAAAAAAAAAAAAAAAAAGTTCTAATGAAAAGATAGAGAATCTTTTCCCGATCATAATGACACCAAAAGTATGAAATTTGATGCAAAACTTACGGAATTATGCTCTCGTGAAGTTAGCGGTCTCGACGATGTTTATGCATTGGCGATTTTGCCCACTTTGAGCCCTATTTTCGGCCAATTCCATTGTACTTGTCGACAAAAATCATAACTATTTCTCTAGAACTCCATTTTTTCTATCGAATTAGTACAAGAAACCACCCATTTACCGATTTCAACTATCCAATATAGTGGTCAGAATTTAGCAATTTTGTCAATTTCACACAAATTTCAAAAGATGCCAGTTTCCGAATAGGGTCCAGAAAAAACAAGAAAGACATTCCTGGCACTAAAATAACATTTCCTATGTTCATTAGTCATGTCCCCATGCCCCTCTTACATTCTTTTGCTTTCCACTTTGAATTTTTATTTTCACAAAAAAATAGATTTACTGTTATGCAGACTACTGCATTGGTGTAGAAATGGTATAAATATTATCAGCGCACTTGTGAAAGAATATTAGACTCACCAGTTGACGTGTATTGGACGCATAGCATGATTTGTTTACTTTTGAACTTTGGTAAAAATTGAACATTTCTGCTACTTTGAGAGCAATTTCAAGGTAGTTTTCTTTGTAAAACCAGTAAAAATCATCTCAATTTCTGTAATATGTCCTCCATTCTATAAAATGAGACCAGGAAAACTATAATACAACAATAAATACCATACAAAAATACAGTGCAAAGTTGCTGTTTTAATCCAAAAACACAAAGTTTTTTTTTTCTCATTACGCACTGTGTGCTGCAGTATTTTTTTATACCGCGCACACTGACCACAGACCCATTCTTTCATGTGTAGGCCTACCAGCTCTTTCTCACTAGATTTGAGGGCGGTAGAATTTAGGCGTACTAATATGTCAAAAACCCTGGTGCGTAAGCCGTACTAGTACAGCCGAAACCCTGAAAGGGTTAAATTAATTTTTTTAATTTTGTTTAAAATTGGTCAAATCAATTTCTGCGCATTTTACAGGGCAGTTCAAATAGTTGACTGGGTGATTTCCTGTGCTCAACAGATAGCATGAAAGTAATACCAGTGAAAGATTAAGAATTTGGTTGAATTGAGCAATGTAGTTGGCTTAAGATAGGGCTGAAATTGGGCGAAACCACCGATGCATAAATTATACGCTGACTGCTAACCTTGCTCCTGAGTGATTCCGTAAGTTTTCCATCCCATTTCATGCTTTTGGTGCTACTGCCTTCAGAAAAAAATTATCATTTCAGAATAATTTTTTTTAACGTGGACATAGTGATCACTTAATTTTGGGGCCTTGGCCAGTGAAGGGTTTAAATCATAACCAAGAATGCTTGGTCAGGTTTTGGTCATTCCAGTAAATGAAATAGACTTTATAAAACCCATAAAACAGACTGGGGAGGCCACTCATCTTTCTCCAGGAAAATTGGCCCTCACCCATCTCTAGGAAAATTGCTGAATATCGACAGATGCTATTTGGCACCTGTTTTAGGTCACTTCTAGTCTTAAAGTCTTGAATATGTATTCATGAGAGCAAGAGGACGGAGGAGCATAGGAGAGGCAAGGAAAGCAAACGACAGATGCATGAGAGTAGGCATAGCAAAAGCAATAGACAAGAGAGAGAGCGAGAGAGAGCAAGAGAGGCAAGAAGAGGAGAGAAAGAGAGCAAGAGAGAGCAAGAGAGAGAGAGCAGAGAGAGAGCAAGAGAGAGAGAGCAGAGAGAGAGAGAGCAAGAGAGGAGCAAGAGGAGCAAGAAGAGAGCAAGGAGAGCAGAGAGAGCAAGAGAGAGAGCAAGAGAGAGGCAAGAGAGAGCAAGAGAGAGAGAGCGCAAGAGAGAGAGAGCGCAAGAGAGAGAGAGGCAAGAGAGAGAGAGCAAGAGGAAGAGAGGCAAGAGAGAGCAAGAGGCAGAGAGAGAGAGGCAAGAGAGAGAGCAAGAGAGAGAGCAAGAGAGAGCAGGAGAGAGCAAGAGAGGAGCAAGAGAGAAGAGAGAGAGCAAGAGAGAGAAGAGAGGCAAGAGAGAGCAGAGAGAGAGAGAGAAGAGAGCAAGAGAGAAGAGAGAGAGAGAGAGAGAGAGAGAGAGAGAGGAGAGAGAGAGAGAGAGCAAGAGAGAGAGAGAGAGAAGAGAGAGAGAGAGAGAGAGAGCAAGAGAGAGAGAGAGAGAGAGCAAGAGAGAGAGAGAGAGAGAGCAAGAGAGAGAGAGAGCAAGAGAGAGAGAGCAAGAGAGAGAGAGAGCAAGAGAGAGAGAGCAAGAGAGAGAGAGAGCAGAGTGCATGGACATGTCACTTATCGCCTGTTCGAAGTCATTTGGCGTCAGGATAACATCAGACAGGGTTGCATTTACCAAATTCTGTGGCTCTCTCATAAAAAATTTGTTTAGATCTTCGACTCTCAGTCTGGTTAGCGGCTTGCTAAAAACCGAGTCATATTGGGACTTAAGTAGCTCACTCACTTCCGTGCTGTCATGTGTAGGACCCATCTTGTTTAAGTAGGGGCCCAATACTGGATGTTGTTCTCAACTTTGATTTGGCATAAGAAAAGAAATACTTTGGGTTTCTTTCAATTTCATTTATGGCTTTTAGTTCTTCCCGTGATTCCTGGCTCCTATAAGATTCCTTTAGCTTTAGTTCGATGTTTGCTATTTCTCTGACCAGTGTCTCCCTACGCATTTCAGATATACAGTGGACCCCTGCCTTACGATATAATTTCATTCCAGAAGTATGTTCAGGTGCCGTTACCGAACGAATTTGTTCCCATAAGGAATACGTATTGTGAATTAGATTAGTCCGTTTCAGACCCCCAAAAATACACGTACAAAAGCACTTACATAAATACACTTACATAACTGGTCGCATTGGAAGCTGATCGTAAGGCGGAGGTCCACTGTATTGGCCTCTTTTAGCCGCTCTGTTATTTTCCGTCGCCTGTAAAGGGAGAGACTGTCTCTTTCTATTTTACGTCTACTCCTCCTTTTTCTTAAAGGAATAAGCCTTGAGCATGCATCGAGTGCCACAGAGTTAATCTGTTCTAGGCATAAGTTGGAGTCTATGTTGCTTAGTCTATCTTCCCAGCTTATATCGTTTAGGACCTGGTTTACTTGGTCCCATTTTATGTTCTTGTTACTGAAGTTGAATTTGGTGAAGGCTCCCTCGTGATTGATCTCATTCTGTCGGTCTGGGTCTCCGTGCATACATGTCTGAACCTCGATTATGTTGTGATCTGAAGATATTGTTTTTAATATGGTGACATTTTGTATCAGATCATCATTGTTAGTGAAGATGAAGTCCAGTGTATTCTCCAGTCTAGTAGGCTCTATTATTTGCTGGTTTAAATTGTATTTTGTGCAGAGATTTAAAAGCTCGTGTGTGTGTGTGTGAGTTCTCGTCTGAGCTGCCTCCTGGTGTTATCACTGCAACAACATTATTTGCTATATTCCTCCATTTTAGGTGCCTCAAGTTGAAATCCCCCAGGAGCAAAATGTTGATGGCAGGAGCTGGAAGATTTTCCAGTGGTCAATTTTCAACAGCTGTTCCTGGAATTGTTGGGACATTGCATCCAGAGGCTTGTAGACTACCACAATGGCTAGGTTTTGGTTCTTGCTTTCATTTGTGAAACGTAAAACTACCTCAAAGGCACAAATCACTGAACACTTGCCCATTTCAAACTATAATTTCTGGCCAAAAATGCAGCAGGGAGCAACAGTCAGCAATCACCAAATTGGAGTATTTGTACTGCTGGTCAAGTCCAACCCTCAATGAACTTTGTCCAATTATTTTTCTCACCTATTTTTAAAGCCATGTAAAGAATTTGCTTAATCACCTACTTGGCAGTTTATTTTACCCATCTGTACAACTCTAATGCTTAAGCAGGATTACTTAGCTGTTTTAACTTTTAAGGTTTAAATAATATTACAAGAACCCCAATGGAAATAAGTCACTTTGACTTATTTGGGTTATCCTAGGTAAGTTACACTCTGTATAATAATTGTATTTATGTATACCTCTGCCTAAATAAACTTTACTTACAATCTTTTTAAAAATCGAAATTGTCAAACAAACTGAGTGTGTATTTAAAGATTTTATATAAAAAAAATTGTTTAATGTAGGCTGCATTTGTCTCTTACTTTCAAATCGTATAAATAAAATCAATTCCATATTGAACTAGAAGAGAAAATAATACCCGTTTGATGATATTGTATTGTCCATGACTGGACACGTTGATGATCCTGGCCTGTTGTCACAGGGTTTAATAGCACCAAAATCAATTTTCTCTGGTAGTACGTATACTCAATATACCGTAGAATGTTCAATGAGCTCACAAAAATTACCACGAAGACCACAGTAAGTCAAGGAAATAGCAGAGGAAGCATTTAAAGGTTTCAAGACAAGGCCATGTTCCCACCACCTGACCAGCACATCCACACCAACTACTCCTCTCTCCCTTAACTACATCTACTCTCTACTCCGCAGGTCTCAGACCATTCCATCACGTTTCACGGCCACGGATATCGACTAGAAACACTAAAGTTGGAGTGATAAGAGTGGTAGTAACGAGAAAAGTACTGACCGCTTGTGTGTGTCAGCCAGGCTAGGGTGAGGGAGGCGCCGCTGCTGCCATCTCTTGCTCGCCCCACACACCACACATTCTACACTAGGGGGCCCAACACACTTTATTTTTACAAAAAAATACCCGAATCAGCGTGGGAACGTTAAGATAACGTTTCGCTTGGAGACTTGGAAAAAAAATTATCTTGATGCCAAAGGTGGTTTTTAATACATGGATCTCATTGGAAATAAATCATTACGTCTGATTTTTGGGGGGGTTCCCTAGGTAATTTAACATGTCTGCGAATTGTTAAGTATGTTATTATGTATGATAACTGTACTTCTGTGTGCCTGTACCTAAATAAACTTAATTACTTAAGTGTCTTTATCGTAATCTGTTGGCATCTCATCCTTCGAACTTCTCGTTTAATTTCTTTGTTAAATTGTCTTGACACCAATGAACTTCACGACCAATCAATCATATAATTAATATTTTAATACAAATACGTAGGTATACATAGAAATGTATACTATATTGTAACATTTTTTACAGTCCATATTACGTACAGCGTTGCGGGTAATCGACCTATTGTAGTTCATTAATTCGATTATTCTAAGGATAATTTGAGACCCTAATTCATCCACAGACATCAGGAATACTTTCCTTCCCGAAAATATGGTATTTAAATAATAATAACTGCTAAACCCGAATGGGTCAGGTATTTAAATAATTTTTCAGTATATATAAATATATATACAACGTATTATTATTATTATTATAAAGGGGAAGCGCTAAACCCGGAGGATTATACAGCGCCGGGGGGGGGGGATGTGGAAGGCATTCAGGCTTAATTCGGGGAACTGGAGCACAGATCCAATTCCCTAAATCAAGAGCCCCTCACCAACATCAAGGAACCTTCCTTGAGGGGTATACAGCGTAGGTTGACCAGAAAAGAAGAAAACACTTTCACCATCAATCACTCCATCACTGTATTGCCAGAGGTGTGCTGATACGTTATTATCATGGAGAGCGCTAAACCCATAGGGATTACACAGCGCCTGTGGTGGGAAGGGATGGAAGGCATTTATTTATTTATTTATTTATTTATTTAATAATTTGAACATACAGAGGTACAAAAAAATACAGGTAAGAGCAGCATGCCAAAGCCACTTACATGCATAGCATTACGGGCTGGCTTAAAATTAACTTAAGATTAACTAAGCAATGATGTAATCAGTGATAAAACATTATTGTAAACAGATAACAATAAAGCACAAATGAGTATTACAAAGACAGGTCATATGGTTGCATGCATTGCTGTACATTCAGTAGAATGGAGTATTCTGTTAGGTAGTGTATTTAAAAAATAACAAAGTTAGATTGGGTCTTAGGTTTAATATTTATGTGATATAATTATGAGAAACATTTAAGATATACAATTTATAAGGTTCAGTTATTCAGTATTTATTTGGTTTTGGGTGAGTAAGTGATCTTTGAGAAGAGACTTGAATTTATAATAGGTAGTGTTTCTTTTATATTTACAGGTAATGAATTCCAGATTTTAGGGCCTTTTATGTGCATTGAGTTTTTGCATAGCGTGAGATGGACACGAGGAACATCAAAGAGTGATCTGTGCCTTGTGTTATGGTCATGTGTTCTGTTGAGGTTGGCAAGATATTTGAGGGGAGGGTTAATATCAGAGTTAAGTGTTCTATGTATGTAATAGGTGCAGTAATAAGTATGGATGTTTTGTATGGTGAGTAGGTTTAGTGTTTTGAATATTGGTGGAGTGTGCTGTCTGTAGTGAGAATTTGTTATCATTCTGACTGCAGCCTTTTGTTGGGTAATTAGTGGTCTGAGATGGTTTATTGTTGTTGAGCCCCATGCACAAATTCCATAGGTGAGATAGGGGTAAATAAGAGAGTGATATAGGGCCAGGAGGGCTGACTGTGGAACATAGTACCGTATCTTCGATAGTATTCGATAGCATTCAGACTCAATTCAGTGGTCTGGAGCACAGATCCAATTCCTCAGATCAAGAGCCCCTCACCAGCGTCAAGGAACCTCCCTTGAGGAGTCGCTGATATACTATAGTTCAGATGCCCCTACAAATTTCAAATATCCTTACCCCTCCTTCACAGTGCAGGAACTGTACTTACCACATGTAGGATTCAAGTCCGGCTAACCAGTTTTCCTGAATCCCTTCATAAATATTACCTTGTTCACACTACAACAACACATCAAGTCATAAAAGTCACTTGCCTCCACTCATTCCTATTACAAACTGCAAATAAGCAATAAACAATGCACAACAACCACGAAGGGAAGAGTCAAGATGCTCAAGGCCTTTCATGCTGAAAATTGCAAGCATGTCTTCAGGAGCAATGCAATGAATGGAATACAAAGTGAAATCTCAGTGGGAGTCCAGACAGATGGGTTCAGGGACAAAGTTACAACTAGTCACCAGTGAAGGAATAATTTTTGGGTGGCGATAAAACACCTCAATTACTGGGAATGCTTGAAGTTCCTCAACAGCTGTATAGCCCTTGTGGCTTAGCACTTCTTTTTGATTATAATAATAATAATCCTCAACCTGTACTCCCTAGAATGCAGGCAGGATTATTATTATTATTATAATCAAAAAGAAGCGCTAAGCCACAAGGACTATACAGCAAAGTCCTTGTGGCTTAGCAGGAGATACATGATTATACCCTTGATGACACTGTGCTTCTGGGAGATTCTGAAGAGAAGTTGCAGAGGTTGGTTGATGAGTTTGGTAGGGTACATAAAAGAAGGAAATTGAAAGTGAATATAGGAAAGAGTAAGGTGATGAGGATAACCAAAAAAAAATAGGTAACGGAACACTGGATATCAGATCGGAGGGAGAGAGTATGAAGGAGGTGAATGTGTTCAGATATCTGGGAGTGGACGTGTCAGCAGATGGGTCTATGAAAGATGAGGTGAATCACAGAACTGACGAGGGGGAAAAGCTGAGTGGTGCACTTAGGAGTCTGTGGAGACAAAGAACTTTGCCCATGAAAGCAAAGAGGGGAATGTATGAGAGTATAGTTATACCAACGCTCTTGCATGGGTGTGAGGCATGGGTGGTGAATGTTGCAACAAGGAGAAGGCTGGAGGCAGTGGAGATGTCATGTCTGAGGGCAATGTGTGGAGTGAATATAATGCAGAGAATCCGTAGTTGGGAGATTAGGAGGAGGTGTGGGATTATCAAAACTATTATCCAGAGGGCCGAGGAGGGGTTATTGAGATGGTTTTGACATGCAGAGAAGATGAAACAAAATAGAATGACTTCGAGTGTATAAATCTGTAGTGGAGGGAAGGCGGGGTAGAGGTTGGCCTAGGAAAGGTTGGAGGGAGGGGGTAAAGGAGGTTTGTGTGCGAGGGGCTTGGACTTCCAGCAGGCATGCGTGAGTGTGTTGGATAGGAGAAAATGGAGACAAATGGTTTTTAGGACTTGACGTGCTGTTGGAGTGTGAGCAAGGTAACATTTATGAAGGGATTCAGGAAAACCGGTAGGCCGGACTTGATTCCTGGAGATGGGAAGTACAGTGCCAGCACTCTGAAGGAGGGGTGTTAATGTTGCAGTTTTATAACTGTAGTGTAAGCATGCCTCTGGCAAGACAGTGATGGAGTGAATGATGAAAGTTTTTCTGTTTTGAGCCACCCTGCCTTGGTGGGAAACGGCCAATGTGTTAATACAAAAAAAAGAAAAAAAAACGGAAAATCCTAGAGGGATTAGTACCAAACTTGCACACGAAAATCACTCCCTATGAAAGCAAAAGAGTTGGCAGATGATGCAGCATCCCCCCGATGAAAAGCAGGGGTGCCACTAGCATGATAAGAAACAACACAATAAGTGTCAGGGGCCCAAGATTGTTCAACTGCCTCCCAGTATACATAAGGGGGATTACGAACAGACCCCTGGCTGTCTTCAAGAAGGTGCTGGACAGACACCTCAAGTCAGTACCTGACCAGCTGGGCTGTGGTTTGTACATCGGGTTGTGTGCAGTCAACAGTAACAGCCTGGTTGATCAGGCCCTGATCCACCATGAAGCCTGGTCACAGACTGGGCTGCAGGGGCATTGACCCCTGAAACCCTCTTCAGGTATACTCCAGGTATACTGAAGAACATAAGAAATAGCACTGCAACAGGTCTACTGGCCCAAGCTAAGAAGGTCCAACTCACACCCACTCATGTACTTGGTATATGAGAATTGAAAAGTGGACTTCTGGGCTTATTATGATGACCAGAAGGGAGACAAGTGATTTGTGATTCAATAACTAACTGATTGATTTAGCAAAGCCAATACTGAATCTTCCAATTTACATCTATCTGCTCACCAGATGTATTACCTACAGATGGGACAGAGCTCCAAGAGCAGACTGAACTTACAGATGAGCAGATATGAGGAATATACAGGTCTCCATGCATAGCACTCTGAATTATTATTATTTTTTTTTTCAACAAACCAGCTGTATCCCACCCAGGCAGGGTGGCCCAAAAAGAAAAATGAAAGTTTTTCTTTTTAAATTTAGTAATTTGCACAGGAGAAGGGGTTACTAGCCCTTTGCTCCCGGCATTTTAGTCACCTCTTATAACACGCATGGCTTACAGAGGAAGAATTCTGTTCCACTTCCCCATGGAGATAAGAGGAAATAAACAAGAACAAGAACTAGAAAGAAAATAGCAGAAAACCCAGAGGGGTGTGTGTGTATATATATGCTTGTACGTATATGTATGTGTAGTGTGACCTAAGTGTAAGTAGAAGTAGCAAGACGTACCTGTAATCTTGCATATTTATGAGACAAACAAAAAACACCAGCAATCCTATCATCATGTAAAACAATTACAGGCTTTCATTTTACACTCACTTGGCAGGACGGTAGTACCTCCCCGGGCGGTTGCTGTCTACCAACCTACTACCTAGGGAATTATTATTATTACATTAACCCTTTGACTGTTTTCAACATATAAATACGTCTTACGAGCCAATGTTTCTGACGTATATATACTCAATAATTCTAGCGGCTTCAAATCAAGCGGGAGAAAGCTGGTAGGCCCACATGTGAGAGAATGGGTCGGTGTGGTCAGTGTGCACCACATAAAAAAAATCCTGCAGCACACATTGCGTAATGAGAAAAAAACTCTGATCGTTTTTTTGGAATAAAACGCCGACTTTGAGGTGTATTTTCGTATAGTATTTATCATTGTATTCGCGTTTTCATGGTCTTAGGTGATAAAATATCAAACATATTACAGAAATAGAGATGATTTTCATTACTTTGACGATGAAAACGACCTTGAAACTGAGCTCAAAGTAGCGGAAATGTTCGATTTTTACCAATGTTCAGGAGTAAATAAATCACACCACATGTCAACTGGGGAGTCTAATATTCTTTCACTAGTGCACTGATATTATTTATATCATTTTTACAATAATGCAGTAGTCTGCATAACAGTAAATTTTGTATTTTTTTGTATGAATAAAAAATCAAAATAGAAAGCAATAATAATATAAGAGGGGCCTAGAGATGTGACTAATGAACAGAGCATATGTTATTTTAGTGCCACGAATGTCTACCTTGTTTATTCTGGACCCTATTTTGAAATTGGCATCTTTTTTAGTTTGCTTGAAATTGGCCAAATTGCCAATTTCTGACCACCATACTGGGTAGTCCAAATTAGTAAATGGGAGGTTTCTTGTACTCAGCTGATAGATAAAATGGAGTTCTAAAGAAATAGCTATGAGTTTGGTCAACTGGAACAATGGAATTGGCTGAAAATAGGGCTCAAAGTCGGCGAAATCGCCGATACGCATATGTCGCCCAGACCCCTAACTTCGCGGGAGCATAATTCCATGAGTTTTCGACCAAATTTCGAACTTTTGGTGTCATTACCATCGGGAAAAGTTTCTCTATCATTTCATAAGAAAAAATAATTTTTTTTTTCAAAAATTGAGCGACATAGAATGACAGTTTCAGAAAGGGGCCTGAAACAGTCAAAGGGTTAAAAAATGAAGTACTAAACCTGCATTATTCATTGTTGCATAGCAAAGGGGGTTAAATTAGACAGTAGAGTGTGAAGGATACCTTTAAAAAAAAGTACAATAGTGACTGTTGGTGTAACATGTCATTTTCAGTTATGTACTAAAGACCAGATGATCAGTCAAGTCAGGATTCGATGGCAGTGGGAGATTATTACTAGATTCATGGGGAAAGTAATAAATCTATATGGGTCATGCATTATCAAGAGAATGGAAGGCAATCAGATTCAGTTCAGGGAAGGGAAGTGCACTTCAATTCCTTGGATCAAGGTAATTCACGAACATCAAAATCTCTCTTTTGAAAGGGGCAGTAGGAGAGAAATTACTCATGGGTAAGCACTAAACCCATAGGTGCCACATAGCACTTGGCAAATGAGAGGTAATCATGTAGATGTGGGTGGAGAAGGCACCTTCAGTAATGTCTTCAGTATTATTAGACAATGATGATGTGTCAGAGGGGTCATTACAAGATTCATTTCATTTGAGAATGCTTTGTCTTAGTTCAGTATTATAATTATATTCACAAAAAAGCTTTTAACCTACATGGATCCATTGTATTAGTTCACAGTCTATAGAGAAATAAATATTCTCTAGTGGTATGAAACAGGGATGACTGTGGTGGGATGCTTCTGAGAACTTCGCAAATAAGGGGGACTTGATATTTCACAGGAAATCTGAAGAAAATCATGGAGAAAAAAAACCTGGAAATTTCAGGATGAAGAGGAAGTTGCATACACCTCTGCTGATACCAACCAAGCAGTGGTGAAAGAATGGGTAAGCTGTCTAGTCAGGAAAGCAGAAGACTGAGGAGTAAAGGAGGGAGGCTACATGATTATCATAATCATGGGGAAGTGCTAAACTTGTGCAAGTTATATATCATCTGGGAAAAAAAGAGGTAATCAATTTTGATACAAGGGAGGGAGGTTAGCTCCAATCCCATGGATCAAGAGCCCTTTACCAGCATTAAGGCACCTCTCTGGAGAGATGCTGAATTACAGAAAGCAAGCACAAGCTCTCCCACAATGATGAGGTTACTGCTGGATGTAAATTATTCTCTATGAGCTATCATATAAAATTAAATAAAAGTTCATTACATTGTTTCCATGCCTAAAAGTGTTCTCAGATACTCACCATATTTGTCAGTCTTCATAGTTTTCACTTCACCCCTATCTTCATATTCACCTGAATACTTTGTGCAGTACACTTCCTTCAATATCAATGTCTATTTGTTCACCAGGGCCATACCATCATAACATTCTCATCTCAATGTTACTCAGACAGGTGGTAAGACACCAAATGCAGGGAAGCCTTTATTGGTACCATATTTTGCCCATGGGGAGGGCTTTATCAAGTGTATTACATACTTGGTAAAGTGTCTTTGTATTTCCCAGTCATACACTAGTTAGCATAATTACTCCATGCAGCCCCTCTAGCCACATCCATTCTTATCTTGATTTTCAAACCAGAGCTTTCATTACAGCAGCAACTTGAACAAATTCTTCTACTATCACTCCAACACCCTAAAGATGTAATCATCAACAGCTTTCAATACTTCATCACTCCTTTTAATTTTAAAAAAATTTTCTTCTTATTTCTATACCATTATAAACCTTTTCTATTTTTTCACTTTCATGAGCAACTGAGCTTAGTATAGCTGCTGTGTGTTGAGAATACATCTACTGCATAAAGCATGGGATACCATTGTTCACTCTCTGCCATTTTCAATTTTCATGCACATACACATAACATTCAACTATTTTGCATATACCACTTTCATTCTCTACACGAAAAACTCTCATGTGTATACATAAATTCTGATGATTTTTATCGCTGGCCTTTTCGCACCAAGGTAGTAAAACACCAAAATATATATTCATCATCACTCACTCATTAGTTGTCTTGCCAGAAGTGTGTGCAGACAAAATTACTAAATTGACCCCTCTATATAAATGCTATATCATGATTCTTCTTTTTGTTTAGGACACTAGACATTTCCCATCAAGGAAGGGTGACCCATAAGAAACACTTTCACCATCATTCATTCTATCACTGCCCTGCAAGAGGCAGGGCAGTGATACTGCTGATACTGCAGTTCAGACGCCCCTCCAAACTGCCAATATCCACACCCCTCCTTCAGAGGAGTGGGGATATTTCCCCTGCATCTCTTTACATTTGTTACCCTGCTCATATTCCAACAGCCCATCAAGTCCTAAAAATCATTTGCCTTCGATCACTCCTAACATGCTCACACATACCTGTTAGATGTCAGAGGCCTTTGCACACAAAACCTTCTTTAACCCCCTCCCTCCAACCTTTCCTAGGGTGACCCCAACTCCTCTTTCCCTCCACTACAGATCTATCATATTAATAACAAAATATTTTTAAATTTTGGCTAGGGTCCAGGGAGTCAATAAGCTATAATTTATATGCAGTAATTTTACAGATTTATTCACAAACAGTTACATAAGCCATTACAAATGGTTACACAAGCCATTACAAACAGTTACATAAGCCATTTGATCAAGTAGTAGTTCTTTTTACCTGTAAAAGAGAAACAACCTCAATTATAAATTAGAAAAAATCAAAGCAATTAATGATAATTTTAATTCAGTATGTTCTGATTATGAAGCTTCCAAACAAATTAGTGTATCATTTAATCACATCACTTTATCCCCCATTATATTATTTATCCTATGAAAAAATACTTTACTACATTTTTAAAATTACATACAGGAGGGTCCTGCTTTACAGCACATCACTTTGCAGCCTTTCGCTAATACAGTGGTTTTCAATTATACCCATTCTTCACTTATTCAAACATCCTACAATGAATATATTCACCACTCCATATAAGCTAAGGACAAAAATATTTTAAGGTAAGTAATGTGTGTAATATATATGTATTTTTTAGGCCTAGCTGTATTGTTCACATAATATGTACATGACAGTGTAAACATATCAGACTTTTATATGCATTTGAAAGTGAAAAAGATTATGATTCACTTTACAGTGATTTTTGCTTTACAGCAGTAGCCTGGAACCTAACCTGCTGTATAAGTGGGGCCTACCTTAACTGTATATTATGAACTTTTAAGGCACTTAACCCTTTCAGGGTCCGTGCCGTAGATCTATGGCTTTACGTTGAGGGTCCAAACCGTAGATATACGTCATGAGCTCAGCTCACTCTGATAAGCTGCGAGTGGTAAATTTGGGCCTAGATATGAGAGAATACATCTACGTGGTATGTGTGCAGCACACAGTGTATAATGACAGAAAAAAAACTGAGACTGTGGTTTTCGATTAAAACAGCGACTTTGCAGTGTTTTTTCGTAAGTTTTTTATAGCTGTATTTGCAATTTCTTGGTGTCATTTGATACAATGGAAGATATATTACAGAAATAGAGATGATTTTGATTGGTTTTAGTACTGGAAATGGCTTGAAACTGAGCTCAAAGTAGCGGAAATGTTAAATTTTTGCCGATGTTCAAGAGTAAACAAACAATCTCACACTTCTAATACACGCCAGCTGGTGGATCTAATATACATTCACAAATGTGGTGATGATATTTATACAATTATTACAATATTGCATAACAGTAAATCTTCTATTTTCTGGTTTGAATAAAAATTCATTATGTGAATAAAAAATCAAAATGGAATTCATTTGTAAAACCTGAAAACATAATTAGTGAACAGAGGAAATGTTAGTTTAGTGTCAGGAATGCCTGCATTGTTTATTCTGGACCCTATTTTGAAATTGGAATATTTTGAACTTTGTGTTAAATTGGCCAAATTACCAATTTCCGATCACTTTATTTTGTAGTTGAAACAGTTGACTGGGCGATTTCTTGTGCTCAGTCGATAGAATAGAAATAATACTAGTGAAATAGCTAAGAATTTGGTTGACTGGAATAATGTAATTGGCCTAAAATGGGAGTCATAGTCGGCAAAATCGCCAATTCGTAAATATCACTGACACATCAAAATTCACGAGAGCATAATTTTGTCAATTTTCCATCAAATATCGTACTTTTTGTTTTATTACCTTCAGAAAAAGATTCTCTACCATTTCATAAGAAAAAATAACAAAATTTTTTATTGAAAATTCTTGGACCCTGGTGCACACTTTGAAATTTGGCCTCTGAAAGGGTTAAAATTAATACAACTGTAATACTTGTACATTAGTGCCATTTACCACTTTTACTATACAGTACATACTTTTAGCTTTTCTCTCAGAAACCCACACCATAAAGGGCATGTTTTTTTCCACCTGTTGTCTATGTTCCCCATCAGTAAAATGGGTACCTGAATATTAGTCGACTGGTGTGGGTCGCATCCTGGGACACTGACCTAATTTGCCCGACATGCGAAGAATAACAAGGGGCTTTCTGTATAGTAGTATGTCATTGTTGTCAGTTAGGCCTGTATACCATGTACATGTACTTGTAGTAAATAAAGATCTTATTATTATTTAACGCAGACTCTCTGTATGAGGTCTTAACTGAAACTAAATTATTATGCCAACTTTGGTTTCGTTCTATAATATATTACCCTCCTTTCCCATGCTAGGCTTGGCATGTAATACTGTGCAGTACAAAATAATAATTCAAACAAGTAATCACATACAAATACACTAAGAAACTGAAACCAAAAACTTACCAACTCTTGCTACAGTGAGACCATTAGAAAGTATATGTGCTCCAGGGATAAGTATAAGATCTGGATTGTTGACACGAGCAAGATTTATGTAAAATCCTCCAGCCTCAATGATGCGGCGAGCATCTCCTGTTGCAAATGTAAAATACACTTGAAGCTGGTAAAATTGTGAGCCTCTTATATTTATATAAACATGGTAAAATCCAACACTTTATTCATATAACATGAATTCCACTATACTATTATCCCCTTCAAAGGGGGTATGCACTGGTGCTAGTGAAGGGCTTCTGATCCAAGGAATTGGGGCTACCATCCTTTTTCTTGGATTAAACCTGCCTTCCATTCCCTAGGAACTGAATAACCCCTACAGATTTAGCAGGTAAAGCTGGAAAAGTAACTGACAGAGTAACAGAGCACTAACCACCTATGTAACTAGTAACACTACTAAGCATCACTGACAAAAAAAATTGACATTCATCATATGCCCTATTGGCAGCTTAAACAATGAAATATGAGAAATAACTCTTGAAATTGTGCTAGACAATACCTTAAGCATCATTACAGGAGTACTCAGATAATCATAATAACAGGATTGCAAACAAACCACGGAACAGGTGGGATTTGAACCAATGGTAAGTGAGTCATAAAACTGGCCAGACCAGTTCCGTGGTTTGTTACAGGAGTAAATAAGTTTCTCAATAAAACCCAAAACTTCAACCATACACACTGTTCCCTGATAACAAATGTAAATAAAAACATGGTTCACTAACATTCAGATCAAGCAAGGCACTGTCTCTAAAGAAATAACAGAAAAGAAACTATGCAACACATAACAGGTCTAATTGCAAAATCAAAATAAATCTATTAAAACAGATTTAACACACCAAAAAAAAAAAAAAATTGAAAAGCATTCCCCAGAATCTCAATTCCACACTTTGAAGACAAAAGAATAGTAGCTCTATCATTTATCTCTTTTTTGTTTTCATTCTCCCACAGTTGCATTTTTTATTCTTAAACATTCATGTAAATCTTTCCACCCATTTTCTGACCTAATGAAAACTGAAAGGATGATTAATAATAATGAATGTACTCTCAACTCAATTTATTAAAAGTTGAATGAACCTTTTTTTTTTCAAAATTTGCTATTATTTTCTTTCAATGCCACTGCCAACATATTCCCCCACCGCTTTATATAAAGGGAAAGGGTACAAAAGAGATTATAAAAATTATAGAGGAATAAGTTTACTGAGTATACCAGGAAAAATGTACGGTAGGGTTATAATTGAAAGAATTAGAGGTAAGACAGAATGTAGGATTGCGGATGAGCAAGGAGGTTTCAGAGTGGGTAGGGGATGTGTAGATCAAGTGTTTACATTGAAGCATACATGTGTGAACAGTATTTAGATAAAGGTAGGGAAGTTTTTATTGCATTCATGGATTTAGAAAAGGCATATGATAGAGTGGATAGAGGAGCAATGTGGCAGATGTTGCAAGTATATGGAATAGGTGGTAAGTTATTAAATGCTGTAAAGAGTTTTTATAAGGATAGTGAGGCTCAGGTTAGGGTGTGTAGAAGAGAGGGAGACTACTTCCCGGTAAAAGTAGGTCTTAGACAGGGATGTATAATGTCACCATGGTTGTTTAATATATTTATAGATGGGGTTGTAAAGGAAGTAAATGCTAGGATGTTCGGGAGAGGGGTGGGATTAAATTTTGGGGAATCAAATTCAAAATGGGAATTGACACAGTTACTTTTTTCTGATGATACTGTGCTTATGGGAGATTCTAAAGAAATATTGCTAAGGTTAGTGGATGAGTTTGGGAATGTGTGTAAAGGTAGAAAGTTGAAAGTGAACATAGAAAAGAGTAAGGTGATGAGGGTATCAAATGATTTAGATAAAGAAAAATTGGATATCAAACTGGGGAGGAGGAGTATGGAAGAAGTGAATGTTTTCAGATACTTGGGAGTTGACGTGTCGGCGGATGGATTTATGAAGAATGAGGTTAATCATAGAATTGATGAGGGAAAAAAGGTGAGTGGTGCATTGAGGTATATGTGGAGTCAAAAAACGTTATCTATGGAGGCAAAGAAGGGAATGTATGAAAGTATAGTAGTACCAACACTCTTATATGGGTGTGAAGCTTGGGTGGTAAATGCAGGAGCGAGGAGGAGGTTGGAGGCAGTGGAGATGTCCTGTTTAAGGGCAATGTGTGGTGTAAATATTATGAAGAAAATTCGGAGTGTGGAAATTAGGAAAAGGTGTGGAGTTAATAAAAGTATTAGTCAGAAGGCAGAAGAGGGGTTGTTGAGGTGGTTTGGTCATTTAGAGAGAATGGATCAAAGTAGAATGACATGGAAAGCATATAAATCTATAGGGGAAGGAAGGTGGGGTAGGGGTCGTCCTCGAAAGGGTTGGAGAGAGGGGGTAAAGGAGGTTTTGTGGGCGAGGGGCTTGGACTTCCAGCAAGCGTGCGTGAGCGTGTTAGATAGGAGTAAATGGAGACGAATGGTACTTGGGACCTGACGATCTGTTGGAGTGTGAGCAGGGTAATATTTAGTGAAGGGATTCAGGGAAACCGGTTATTTTCATATAGTCGGACTTGAGTCCTGGAAATGGGAAGTACAATGCCTGCACTTTAAAGGAGGGGTTTGGGATATTGGCAGTTTGGAGGGATATGTTGTGTATCTTTATACGTATATGCTTCTAAACTGTTGTATTCTGAGCACCTCTGCAAAAACAGTGATAATGTGTGAGTGAGGTGAAAGTGTTGAATGATGATGAAAGTATTTTCTTTTTGGGGATTTTCTTTCTTTTTTGGGTCACCCTGCCTCGGTGGGAGACGGCCGACTTGTTGAAAAAAAAAAAGAAAAAAAAAAAACATGCTGTTCTCATCCTCACCCACCTAGAGGTTTCTGGTAGGAGACATAACCCAGTAAAGAGTAATTCAGGAGACAGTAAATCAACTTTACCACTGGGCACTGTATCTAAGTTGAAGAGAAACCCAGTTAAAAAATATAGCATATACATACTTTCATCTGCAAAACAGCCAGCCTTCAATGCCATGGTAAGGACAGATGTTCCTGGTTCTAGGAGGAGGCTAGTTGAGGGAGCAGATTTGAACACAACTTCTATTTCATTTGTGGACATTTTGGCAAGAGCTTCAGGTTGGTTGCCAAACAGAGCCTCAGTTGTACGATGAGCAGATTCTAGACCTTCTTCTAATGAAGAGTGATGAAATGTATTTCATTAGTTAGAAAAAATATGAAACATACATAATTTAACAAATCACTGAACTGATGGGGCTCAAACCCCACCAGTTCTGTGATTTGTTTGCAATTTTGCTCTTTCAATTTTGGGAGTTATACCTTAATAAATGAAGAATGGTGAAACACATACAGCATACAAAAGTGAATACTGAATAAACTCACATTAATCCAAGCACAAAGTCAAATGAACACATCAAAACAGGAGAAAGTCAGATGCTCACATCAAGCAAGCACAAAGTCAGACACATACATCAAAAAAATGCAAAGTCAGATGCACACATCAACCAAGCACAAAGTCAGACTCACACGTCAACCAGGCACAGTCAGACGCACACACCAACCAAGCTCAAAGTCAGACGCACACATCAGCCAAGCACAAAGTCAGACACACCCATCAACTCATCTCTGATCCTATGCTGTACTTTCTACAAGTGTGATGGACTGAGCACATCGATTCCAGGCTGAGGGACTGATTACCTCATACTCTTCCTCTTCTTACACCTTTCTGCTTAGTACTGGACTGATGAAGCCACTGTGTGGCAAAACATCTCCTTAATAAAGATTCCCATATGTTGCACAAGTGTCTCAATCTTCAACTTGTCGGTTTTCAAAAACCATTTATCACATCTGTCAGACACTGCCACATCATGGGATCTTGATACAAGAAATTCTTTAATTTGTCCAACCTTTGGACAAAGACCTACTTAGATTAGTAGATGGTTCTACTATGATCCCACCTCATCCTGCTTCAACTCACCTGACTACAGTACATAAGCCATTTCTCCGGCCATATGCTGCACTTTCCACGAGAGTGATGGACTGAACACATTGATTCCAGGCTGAGGGACTGATTACCTCAAACTCCTCCTCTCCTAACCCATTTTTACTTTGTATTGAAGTGATGAAGCCACTGTGGTAAAACATCTCCTTAATAAAAATTCCCATATGTTGCATAAGTGTCTCAATCTTCATCATTCACACCATCACCATCTTGCCAGTCATTTTTTTTTTTTAAGTACAGTAGGTCCATGCTTTACGGCATTTCACCTTATGGCATTATATTAATATGGCGATTTCAAATTATGACCAAAACTCGCTATACGGTTCCCCGTCTTTCTAATATGGGGCGCCCCACCTGGTTTGTTTACATTCTCCATGAGCACATCTCTCTATTATGTCTGAAAGCTTTCCAAAATTTCAAGTGTTGCAAATTTGTTGCATATTTTATATACTCTGATAATTATACCTATGTGTACCTGTACCTAAATATACTTACACACTGTGCTGGCATGCAGGTACACATTAAAATCACTAAGAGTGTCCCTCTAGTCTTAACGCCATAGTAGTAATACAATTACGTAATAATAATCACTCTTGGGTGCATTAAATGCCTTATTTCATGTTAATATAACCATTTTCATTAATCCATCTACGATATTTTCTTCAAAATTATATAAGAAACACGTTACATAGTAAATAAACATGTCATGTTTATATGCTATGAAGGTGTGGTAGCAGGCAGAGGGAAAACATTACGTTTTCTCTGGTCCAGCACCAGAAAAAAATGTGTATGAATCTGCTCTTGGCCCAGTTGCTCCCCTTAACTGCTTTTCTTTACAATTCTCGGCATGAATTATCATCATTACTTCTCTTAACCTGAAAATATAAGTGGGGCCCTACAGTATGCAGCTAGCCTTCCTGCTTTTGAAGTAAGAATGTTGCAATTTTCACCACAACCAAATGAAAACTAAAAATATAATTGGTATTATGAGCTAAATTAAATTTCCATTTCCAGCGCAGTTAATACATGCTTCATACTTACCACCATGTACAAGAAGTGTAACTTTTTCTGCTAATTTCAACTGTGCATGTCTGCTTTCAGGTTTGCTCTGAAAGAAAATAATACTATACAGATATTTTTAATATAACAACATTTCCAGGTCTTGATTATCTAATATAAAGGATCATTGCTACAAGAAAATTAATGAACCAAGCTAATCATGAGTGCTTAAAGACATGTAGGTATGGCTGTGAAACAGAGTAATGGCTTGACCAAAAAACTGGGCTTTCAGCCTCCAAGCTGTTTGCTAAACCCTTCCACTCAAATGTATTAACATGTAACTAAATATTCTTAATTCCATTAGGAATGTTTGTAACATGGAGGTACTACCGTCCTGCCAAGTGAGTATAAAACGAAAGCCTGTAATTGTTTTATATGATGGTAGGATTGCTGGTGTCTTATGTCTGTCTCATAAATATGCAAGATTACAGGTATGTCTTGCTACTTCTACTTACACTTAGGTCACACTACACATACATGTACATTTTTATTTATACACACTCATCTGGGTTTTCTTTGATTTTACCTTAATAGTTCTTGTTCTTATTACTTTTCCTTTTATATCCATGGGGAAGTGGAATAAGAATCTTTCCTCCATAAGCCATGCGTGTTGTAAAAGTCAACTAAAATACCGGGAACAATGGGCTAGTAACCCCTTTTCCTGTAATAATTACTTAACAGAATAAGAAGAAGAAAATTGTCAAAGTGGAATGTCTGAATGTGCGTGGATGTTGTGCGGATAATAAGAAAGAGATGATTGTGGATGTTATGAATGAGAAGAAGCTGGATGTCCTGGCTTTAAGTGAAACAAAGCTGAAGGGGGTGGGAAAGTTTCAGTGGAGAGGAATAAATGGGATTAGGTCAGGGGTTTCAAACAGAGTTAGTGCTAAAGAAGGAGTTGCAATAATGTTGAAGGATAAGCTATGGCAGGAAAAGAGGGACTATAAATGTATTAATACAAGGATTATGTGGAGTAAAATAAAGGTTGGATGTGAAAAGTGGGTTATAGTAAGTGTATATGCACCTGGAGAAGAGAGAAGTGTAGAGGAGAGAGAGAGAGAGATTTTGGGAAATGTTGAGTGAATGTGTGGGGAGTTTTGAACCAAGTGTGAGAGTACTTGTGGTTGGGGATTTCAATGCTAAAGTGGGTAAAAATGTTGTGGAGGGAGTAGTAGGTAAATTTGGGGTGGCAGGGGTAAATGAAAATGGGGAGCCTTTAACAGAGCTATGTGTAGAAAGAGGTTTGGTAATAAGTAATACATATTTTATGAAAAAGAGGATAAATAAATATACAAGTTATGATATAGCACATAATGAAAGTAGTTTATTAGATTATGTATTGGTGGATAAAAGGCTGATAGGTAGGCTCCAGGATGTACATGTTTATAGAGGGGCAACTGATATATCGGATCATTATTTAGTTGTAGCTACAGTTAGAGTAAGAGGTAGATGGGACAAGAGGAAAATGACAACAACAAGTAAGAGGGAGGTGAAAGTGTATAAACTAAGGGAGGAGGAAGTTAGGGTGAGATATAAGCAACTATTGGCAGAAAGGTGGGCTGGTGCAAGTATGAGTAGGGGGGGGGTAGAAGAGGGGTGGAATAGTTTTAAAAATGCAGTATTAGAATGTGGGGCAGAAGTTTGTGGTTATAGGAGGGTGGGTGCAGGAGGAAAGAGGAGTGAGTGGTGGAATGATGAAGTAAAGGGTGTGATAAAAGAGAAAAAGGTAGCTTATGAGAGGTTTTTACAAAGCAGAAGTGTTATACGAAGAGTAGAGTATATGGATTAGTAAAAGAAAGGTGAAGAGAGTGGTGAGAGAGTAAAAAAGGAGAACAGATGATAGAGTGGGAGAGGCACTGTCAAGAAATTTTAATGAAAATAAGAAAATTTTTTTGAGCAAGTTAAACAAGTTAAGAAAGCCTAGGGATATGTCAGTTAAAAAAAGAGTAGGGGAGTTAGTAGATGGGGAGATAGAGGTATTGGGTAGATGGCGAGAATATTTTGAGGAACTTTTAAATGTCGACGAAGAAAGGGAAGCGGTAATTTCATGCACTGGCCAGGGAGGTATACCATCTTGTAGGAGTGAAGAAAAGCAGGATATGAGTGTGGGGCAGGTGTGTGAGGCATTACGTAGAATGAAAGGGGGTAAAGCAGCCGGAACTGATGGGATCATGACAGAAATGTTAAAAGCAGGGGGGGATATAGTGTTGGAGTGGTTGGTATTTTTGTTTAATAAATATATGAAAGAGGGGAAGGTACTTAGGGATTGGCAGAGAGCATGTATAGTCCCTTTATATAAAGGGAAGGGGGACAAAAGAGACTGTAAAAATCATAGAGGAATAAGTTTACTGAGAATACCAGGAAAAGTGTACGGTAGGGTTATTATTGAAAGAATTAAGAGGTAAGACAGAATGTAGGATTGTGGATGAGCAAGGAGGTTTCAGAGTGGGTAGGGGATGTGTAGATGAAGTGCTTACATTGAAACATATATGTGAACAGTATTTAAATAAAGGTAGGGAGGTTTTTATTGCATTTATGGATTTAGAAAAGGCATATGATAGAGTGGATAGGGGAGCAATGTGGCAGATGTTACAAGTACAGTGGAACCTCTACGTACGAGTGCATCCACGTGCGAGTTTTTCCAGATACAAGCAGCTGCTCGGTCGATTTTTTGCTTCCAGACTCAAGCAAAATTTCCAGATGCAAGCGGGCCTCAAGGGAGGTTAATTGACACTGGTGAGGGGGCTCTTGCTCTTGATCTAGGGAACTGGATCTCAGTTGTTTGTTGGACTATCTTATTGAAACTTAGGCAATGTATGATGAAAAGATGCTTCTTAACGTACACCAAAAATGAAGGAAATCGGACCATAAATAACGGAGTTCACTTCTCAGCCATTAACCTCTCTTTAGCGGTATATTTTCGTATGGTTTTTATGGTTGTATTCTCGTTTTATTTGGTCTCATGTGATAGAATGGAAGCTATACTACAAAAATAAATTGAGAAATTGAGCTCAAAATAGCAGAAATGTTCGATTCCTTGGCAACATCAGTGGCAGACATCATGAGGTAGCAGTGGCAGACAACATGAAGCAGCAGTGGCAGACATGATGAGGTAGCAGTGGCAGACAATATGAAGCAGCAGTGGCAGACATCATAAGGTAGCAGTGGCAGACAACATGAAGCAGCAGTGGTAGACATCATGAGGTAGCAGTGGCAGACAACATGAAGCAGCAGTGGCAGACAACATGAAGCAGCAGTGGCAGACAACATGAGGTAGCAGTGGCAGACATGAAGCAGCAGTGGCAGACATCATGAGGTAACAGAGGCAGACAACATGAAGCAACAGTGGTAGACATCATGAGGTAGCAGTGGCAGACAACATGAAGCAGCAGTGGCAGACAACATGAAGCAGCAGTGGCAGACAACATGAGGTAGCAGTGGCAGACATGAAGCAGCAGTGGCAGACATCATGAGGTAACAGAGGCAGACAACATGAAGCAACAGTGGCAGACATCATGAGGTAGCAGTGGCAGACAACATGAAGCAGCAGTGGTAGACATCATGAGGTAGCAGTGGCAGACAACATGAAGCAGCAGTGGCAGACAACATGAAGCAGCAGTGACAGACAACATGAGGTAGCAGTGGCAGACAACATGAAGCAGCAGTGGCAGACATCATGAGGTAACAGTGGCAGACAACATGAAGCAGCAGTGGCAGACATCATGAGGTAGCAGTGGCAGACAACATGAAGCAGCAGTGGCAAAGTGTACCATTAATAGTGTAACAATTAAGTGTAGCATTAAGAGTGTATCAATTAAGTGTAGCACTTGTAAGTCACTCTGTCTGATTTTTCTGGGTTATCCTAGGTTCTCTAGTCAGGAGCAGGAATGGCCGCTGTGGTGGCCCTATAAACCTCAACAACAATGGCTGCTGTCACCACCACTAGCCACATAGCTAATGACATGTATTTTATTCATTCTAGTGTATATATCATGTTTCTATGTTATTAATATTGTTTATTATGTCATATTACATGAATTGTGATAGATAAATAAGCTGTAGAGTTGATATTAGGGAAATTATTAAAGTATTTTCTCGTGCCTGGAATTCCACTGGAAAGAATTCCATTTCAGCTAATTTAACCCTTAAACGGTCCAAACGTATATATACGTTCACTCGCACAGCACCCCGAATATTTTGAATTTTTTTTTTATAGAAAAAAAGAGCACATTTTTTTTTAAGTGTTTTAGCATAAAAAAAATAATTTAGGGTCAGTACTTACCGAGATATGAGGCTGCGAATTTGGCACTTGGCGATCACCTGACGGCAACATGGAGCACTGCTGCTTGCAGAAATTCAACATATTTACCGTTTTCTTGTTTTTCATGATATGATAATTATGTTTCATAGTAAGTCATTTGATATCAATGCCAATTTTTTTTTATACACCAATATTACATACAAAATTTTTATCATATTGTCATAAACACACATGTACACACTGACAGGTGATTTTGCACACCTGGCTGAATCACACATTATTATCTACAACTATATACAAGTATTTACATGTCCCACTTATGTTTCTAGAACTCCACAATTGTATGATACTCCATGAAGCATGGATTCATACAGAGTGCCACCCCACACTGGTGACACATGAATCGTGTGTCCTTCCACTGTTGGGGTCGTTTTTTGGTGGTAGCACACACAATACACTTTTTCTGGGCATTCTTCTCCTTTTGGGTAGGTGGTATTGGTACCAGATAGTGACAGTTAGGAGTGATTCGGTCTGGCACTTCCCCCACTGGCTGTGGTTGGGGGACAGGTTGTGGTGTGACAGGTCGCTGTTGAGGGGAAGATACAGGTGTGGTACCATACTTTCTTGCTATCTGTTTGACGAGATTCAGAGAGAAATCTGCAAAACGTTGTCGTTTTCCAGTCTTTACTTCGTACATATTGAATGCATTGAGCACTGCAATGTCTATAAGGTGAAAAAACAGTATTATATACCACTTGCGACTCCTACGCACACAGTCAACAAACCCTATCATCATGTCACACTTGTCAACTAGTCGCATATTGTTCGTATAGTCCACGACAGCAAGTGGCTTCACAATAGGTTCGTTGTTGAACTTGCTCAGTCTGTCTGTTTGTACCATCTCGTTTCTGTGGATGGTTGATAGCAATGTCACGTCTCGTTTGTCATGCCACGTCAGTGCCATGATGTCATTAGCATGAAACGCTTGCACTTCACCTTCAACACTGCCTCCAGTGAGCCTTGGCATATGTTTCCTATTCCTTCTCACTGTTCCACATACAGTGGACCCCCGCATAACGATGGCATCACATAGCGATTTTTCCGCATACCGATTACTTTTATCGCAAAATTTTTGCCGCGCATACCGATTAAAAACCCGCTTACCGATTTTCGTCCGAGACGCGTCCAATGTGCCCTCACATGTGCCGGCCGTCCCATTGTTTACCAGCCAGCCTCCGCGGTAACATCCAAGCATACACTCGGAATATTTCGTATTATTACAGTGTTTTCGGTGCTGTTTCTGGAAAATAAGTGACCATGGGCCCCAAGAAAGCTTCTAGTGCCAACCCTGTGGTAAAAAGGGTGAGAATTAGTATGGAAATTAAGAAAGATTTTGAAGGGTTTGGGGCTAACCCTGAGAAGCCTATGCCAGTTGTGGAATCCATTGTGCCTACTTCAAAGATTAAGGAAATGTGTGCACAGTGGGTTGAACTGCAAAACCTTTATAGATGAAAATCACCCTGACACAGCTGTTGCAAGCCGTGCTGGTGACTATTTCAATGACAATGTTATGGCCCATTTTAGGAAAGTCTTGAAGGAACGGGAGGTACAGAGCTCTATGGACAGATTTGTTGTGCGACAGAGGTCCAGTGACTCTCAAGCTGGTCCTAGTGGCATTAAAAGAAGAAGGGAAGTAACCCCAGAAAAGGACTTGCTACCTCAAGTCCTAATGGAAGGGGATTCCCCTTCTAAACAGTAAGAAGATAATGCTCTCCCCTCCTCCCATCCCATCAATCATCACCAGATCTTCAATAAAAGTAAGTGTCATTTAATTGTGCATGCCTTTTTCAGTTTGTGTGTATTAAAATTAACATTTCATGTGGTAAAAAAATTTTTTTTTCATACTTTTGGGCGTCTTGCACGGATTAATTTTATTTCCATTATTTCTTATGGGGAAAATTCATTCGCATAATGATTATTTCGCATAACGATGAGCCCTCTTGCACGGATTAAAATCGTTAACCGGGGGTCCACTGTATATCAGTATTGTTCACACGTAGGAAATCAGCAAGCATAGGGCTTGTATACCAGTTGTCTGTGTACAATGTATGGCCTTTGCCAAGGTATGGTTCCATCATCCTGCGAACAACAACACCGGAAATGCCCAACATCCTTCTGTCATCATCGAGTGTGCTTTTCCCTGTGTATACAATTACATCCAATACAAGACCACTCTCACAGTCACACATAACAAAAAGTTTTATACCAAAGCGATTACGTTTGCTCGGTATATATTGCTTGAATGACAGGCGTCCCTTGAACAGACTCAAGGACTCATCAACAACAATGTTCTTGAAGGGATAAAAGTATATACTGAATTTCTGCTTCAAATACCTAAACACTTCCCGGATTTTGTATAGAAGGTCATTTCTGTCTGGCGTATTTCTGTCTGCGAAGTGCAACATTCGTAGCAACAGAGTGAATCTGTTGCAGGGAAGGAGGTCATGGAAAACTGGAGTACTGATGAAGTGGTCTGTAGACCAGTAATTACGTATATTGTTCTTATAGATATGTGGCATAAGCATGACAGTGGCAAGGAATAAATACATTTCAGCCACTGTTGTGTCTTTCCACCTGTGCAGCCGTGATGATTCTCCAACCTCTGCTGTGTTGTTCATGACATATTGGTAATAAATGTTTGTCTGAGTCACTATCAAGTTCATTATAGGCTCGTCAAAGTACAACTGGAAATAGTCTAACTCTGTAGACTCATTCGTTATGGGACATTCTGGCTGGATACCACTTCCACTAGCATCAAAATCACAAGGCTGTGGCACAAATATACTTTGTGTCCAGTTCCACTCACGATCACGTGGTGCAGGGTGGACCTGTGGCATGGGAAGAGGGGGGGCAGGAGGAGGAGGGAGAGGAGTGGAGGCAGCACATGGTTGAAGGGGTGCTGGGCGGTCCTTTGTCTGTCCACCCACTGCGCCATGTGGTCCAGGCACCATGCCACCCACCACTACTTCCTCCATCCCCGCATACTCCCCTTCATGATCACTTTCACTATCATTGGTCGGGGTTTTGGATCGTGACTTGCCACAACCCTTGGGGGTTGCATATGGCACACTGCCTGAACGTAGATAACGACGCCTAAAAGTACGTTTCATTGGTGAATAATGAACGTCACTATCACTAGACGAATCCTCAGTTGGCATAAAATCAATCTCATCGTCACTTACATCACTTTCACTATCACTAAAACACCGGGAAAATGATAGTTTCCTCTTGCGAAGTTGCCTATGGGTAACACTTGCCACTCCAGAGGTGCTTGGACCAGGGTCTTCTGTGGCCACACTGGCCACCCCAAAAGTGCTTGGCCTAGGGTCTGCTGTGGCCACACTGGCTACCCCAGAGGTGCTTGGCCCTAGGACAGGTGTCGCTACCCCAGAGGTGATGGGCTGGGGGTCATCTGGGTCATAGTCGATATTTTCACTAATTCCTTGAATATTACTGGCCCCATTGGTGTCAGATCCACTAAACTCATGATCTCTATCACTTTCCTCGAATAGAAGAGTGGATGTGCCATAATGTTGACCCAGGATGGAGCTGAATGTAACTGGTCCTACCATGTGGTACCCAGGGGTCCCAGATTTTTTGTATACTGCGCACACTGAGTGCGCACACCCATTCTCTCATGTCTAGGTGACTCAGGCCTATCTCGCTAATTTTGAACGAATGAAAAATAAAACGTATATATACGTTTGGGGCACTACGCTCGTGAACGTATATATACGTTTGGACCGTTTAAGGGTTAAATGAGGAAAATTGACTCTGCAAACGAGCAAATCCAGTTGCGAGCAAGGTCATGGAATGGATTAAACTTGTAAGTAGAGGTTCCACTGTATATGGAATAGGTGGTAAGTTACTAAATGCTGTAAAGAGTTTTTATGAGGATAGTGAGGCTCAGGTTAGGGTGTGTAGAAGAGAGGGAGACTACTTCCCGGTAAAAGTAGGTCTTAGACAGATGGGGTTGTAAAAGAAGTAAATGCTAGGGATTTCAGGAGAGGGGTGGGATTAAATTATGGGGAATCAAATACAAAATGGGAATTGACACAGTTACTTTTTGCTGATGATACTGTGCTTATGGGAGATTCTAAAGAAAAACTGCAAAGGTTAGTGGATGACTTTGGGAGTGTGTGCAAAGGTAGAAAGTTGAAAGTGAACATAGAAAAGGGTAAGGTGATGAAGGTATCAAATGATTTAGATAGAGAAAAACTGGATATCAAATTGGGGAGGAGTATGGAAGAAGTGAATGTTTTCAGATACATTTGGGAGTTGACGTGTCAGCAGATGGATTTATGAAGGATGAGGTTAATCATAGAATTGATGAAGGAAAAAAGGTGAGTGGTGCATTGAGGTATATGTGGAGACAAAGTCCAAGCCCCTCACCCACAAAACCTCTTTTACCCCCTCCCTCCAACCTTTTCGAGGATGACCCTTACCCCGCCTTCCTTCCCCTACAGATTTATACGCTCTCCATGTCATTCTACTTTGATCTATTTTCTCTAAATGACAAAACCACCTCAACAACCCCTCTTCAGCCCTCTGACTAATACTTTTATTAACTCCACACCTTCTCTTAATTTCCACACTCCGAATTTTCTGCATAATATTTACACCACACACTGCCCTTAGACAGGACATCTCCACTGCTTCCAACCGCCTCCTCGCTGCAGCATTTACAACCCAAGCTTCACACCCATATAAGAGTGTTGGTACTACTATACTTTCATACATTCCCTTCTTTGCCTCCATAGATAATGTTTTTTGTCTCCACATATACCTCAACTCACCACTCGCCTTTTTTCCTTCATCAATTCTATGATTAACCTCATCCTTCATAAATCCATCCGCCGACACATCAACTCCCAAGTGAGTGTAAAACGAAAGCTTGTATTTGTTTTACATGATGGTAGGATTGCTGGTCCTAGGTAGTAGGTTGGTAGACAGCAACCGCCCAGGGAGGTACTACCATCCTGCCAAGTGAGTGTAACACGAAAGCCTGTAATTGTTTTACATGATGGTAGGATTGCTGGTGTCCTTTTTTCTGTCTCATGAACATGCAAAATTTCAGGTACGTCTTGCTACTTCTACTTACACTCAGGTCACACTACACATACATGTACAAGCGTATATATACATACCCCTCTGGGTTTTCTTCGATTTTCTTTCTAGTTCTTGTTCTTGTTTATTTCCTCTTATCTCCATGGGGAAGTGGAACAGAATTCTTCCTCCGTAAGCCATGCGTGTTGTAAGAGGTGACTAAAATGCCGGGAGCAAGGGGCTAGTAACCCCTTCTCCTGTATATATTACTAAATTTGAAAGGAGAAACTTTGGTTTTTTCTTTTGGGCCACCCTGCCTCGGTGGGATACGGCCAGTGTGTTGAAAGGAAGAAGAAGAAGAAGGATTGCTGGTGTCTTTTTTCTGTCTCATAAACTTGCAAGATTTCAGGTACGTTGTGCTACTTCTTCTTACACTTAGGTCACACTACACATACATGTACAAGCATATATATGTCTGACATAGTGAATATCAAAATGGTATACAATACCAACAGGGTGATAGGTAAGACACATAGGCAACATTTAGGCAACTTTATTCCGAAACGTTTCGCCTACACGTGAACTCTCAGTGGCTACATTCTCACTACTACTACTCTGCACCTCTCCTTCGGACAGTATTTAAGTCTCAACACAGTTGCTTCATCTTCAGTTAGTTCCAGACTTTGGAACAGAACTTCTCCAGGCTGAGGAACTAACAACCTCAAATCTACGACTTCAAGGGTGATGGACTGATTACATCGTCTTCACATCTCTATTGCTCCTGCCTACTTTCTGTACTCGACTAAAGAAGCCTGTGTAGGCGAAACGTTTCAGAATAAAGTTGCCTAAATGTTGCCTATGTGTCTTACCTATCAAGCATATATATACACATCCCTCTGGGTTTTCTTCTATTTTCTTTCTAGTTCTTGTTCTTGTTTATTTCCTCTTATCTCCATGGGAAAGTGGAACAGAATTCTTCCTCTGTAAACCATGCGTGTTGTAAGAGGCGACTAAAATGCCGGGAGCTAGGGGCTAGTAACCCCTTCTCCTGTACAAATTACTAAATTTAAAAAGAAAAACTTTCGTTTTTCTTTTTGGGCCACCCTGCCTTGGTGAGATACGGCCAGTTTCTTGAAAAAAAAATAAAATAAAAAATACACCACAGTACTTACAAACAGCCCAACTTTGCTTACTATAAAAGAAACTTGTTACCACTGTAACGTACTTAATCAACAGAGAACTTTGGCCTAGATCCTTGACTCATGCCTTTGCAGCCTACTGAATACTGCCCACAGGATGGTGTGGATAAGTGTACACTGTATAATAATATTATTAATAATATTATTAATAATATTATTAATAATATTAATAATAATAATAATAATAATAATAATAATAATAATAATAATAATAATAATAATAATAATAATAAAAATAATAATAATAAATAAAAAGCAAATGATTCACCTACCCAGTGCTTTTCCATAATGCTTTTTATGTCCTTTATAGGAAGGAAGGTGAAAAGGAGAAGATACTTTTCAACCTGAAAAAAAGTTACAAAAGATTAAAAAAATAACATCAAATTACATTATAAAAGTAAAAAATATATCAATCACAGGTATACAAAATGAGTACAAAAATAGAATAATTTTTTTGAAAATTATATCAGCAACATAAATATAAAATGAGTTTTGAATCCACATGATGAACTGATATTTCACAATACTCATTATTTCCATTTCTTCTCCTAACTTTTCAGTTATATAAATAAATGCCAAGTACAATTTATATTAATGAATTACAGCACATATTGTGTTTTTACAACACTGGTCATTTCCCATCAGGAAGGGTAAGCCAAAGAATAATAATAATAAATTTATTTTTTGTCTGTATTACACAGTTAATGTAGCTGACATGTAATATTTTTAGGCACAAAAAAAAAAGCCACTAGCATGCAGTGAAATTCGGGAAACCTTGACCATCACTTATTCAACAGCTGTCTTACCAAAAGTGGGTAAATATTAGCAATCATATGACTCTCCAAACTGCAACAATCCCACCCAGCCTTCAGAATGCAAGACTATACAATGCAAGTATTTTCTTCATGTGTTTGTTATTAAAGTAGTCCCCCCCATATCCACAGGGGATACATTCCAAAACCCACCATGGATACCAGAAACTGTGGATAGCAGCAAATCCTATATACATGCACTCCTCATTTAACAATCAAGTTTCATTCCTACAACTAGGTTGTTAAGTGAACTGGTCAATAAGTGAGGAGCTGCCCCTTATTGATATTTCAAGCATGCTGTACTGATAGTGGGTTTGTGTTAACCATCTTTAGATATTGTTTTAATATCGCCTTTGCACTATTTAGTACATTTTTAAATGTTTATACAGTAGTGTACTGTATACAGTACACTGACTGTTCTGTATATAGTATACCGACTGGTTGGAGAGCTAGTCATAAGTCCAAGCAATTGTTAAATAGGTAGGCTGTTAAGTGAAGAGTGCCTTTATAAGTCATTTTTCTTTTATATACATGCCTATGATAAAGCACGGGAAGCACTTCACAGCTTCTCTTAGGCTTTAAAGAATTGCCAGCATCACTACTTTTGTGCTTTGGGGCCATTTTTAAACAAAATTTAGGATCATTTTCGGGTCACAGTAAACCGCAGATAACTGAAACCGCGGAAACCGAATCTGCGGATATGGGGTTCCTACTATACTCAACAGTAGTTTATGTCAGGAACATTAGCATCTTCAAATGTCTGTTCTCTTTCTGAACATGTAACTTGATTCAAAGGCCAGAAATGAAGTAAAAAAAAAGCCAGTTACTTAGAAAGCTTAAAAACACTCTTTATATACCACAAGAAAACCTAATTTAACACTGTGGATCAATTGTAAGAAAGACTACTTAAAAGGAAATGCTCCAAAAGATCATGGTCCCAGAACAAAATATTTTGGTAAAAAATGTAAGTTTTATTTTACACAACAGATACCATTAAGCTACAGTATATAATACTGCAATACATGTAATATCCATTAAATACTGGTCAGAATAAAGGATTACTAGATACTGATATTAGCAGTTTGGAGGGATATGTTGTGTATCTTTATATGTACAGTGGACCCCCGCATACCGTTGGCATCACATAACGTTAAATCCGCATACCGATACATTTTATCACTAAGATTTTGCCTCACATACCGCTAAAAAACCCGCTCAACGCTGTTCGTCCGAGACGCGTCTAATGTGCGGCCTGAGCCAGCCTCACATGTTCCGCCGGTGGCATTGTTTACCAGCCAGCCTCCGCGGTAACATCCAAGCATACAATCGGAACATTTCGTATTATTACAGTGTTTTTGGTGATTTTATCTGCATAATAAGTGACCATGGGCCCCAAGAAAGCTTCTAGTGCCAACCCTACAGGAATAAGGGTGAGAATTACTATAGAGATGAAGAAAGAGATCATTGCTAAGTATGAAAGTGGAGTGCGTGTCTCCGAGCTGGCCAGGTTGTATAGTAAACCCCAATCAACCATTGCTACTATTGTGTCCAACAAAACGGCAATCAAGGAAGCTGTTCTTGACAAAGGTTCAACTGTGTTGAAAGAGATCGCAAGTGATGGAAGATGTTGAGAGACTCTTATTGGTGTGGATAAATGAAAAACAGATAGCAGGAGATAGCATCTCTCAAGTGATCATAAGTGAAAAGGCTAGGAAGTTGCATGAGGATTTAATTAAAAAAATGCCTGCAACTAGTGATGATGTGAGTGAATTTAAGGCCAGCAAAGGTTGGTTTGAGAGATTTAAGAAGCGTAGTGGCATACGTAGTGTGATAAGGCATGGTGAGGCTGCCAGTTCGGACCACAAAGCAGCTGAAAAATATGTGCAGGAATTCAAGGAGTACATAGACAGTGAAGGACTGAAACCTGAACAAGTGTTTAATTGTGATGAAACAGGCCTGTTTTGGAAGAAAATGCCAAGCAGGACCTACATTACTCAGGAGGAAAAGGCACTCCCAGGACATAAGCCTATGAAAGACAGGCTTACTCTGTTGATGTGTTCCAATGCTAGTGGTGATTGCAAAGTGAAGCCTTTATTAGTGTATCACTCAGAAACTCCCAGAGCGTTCAGGCAAAAGAATATCCTCAAGGCTAATTTGTGTGCGCTGTGGAGGGTAAACAGTAAGGCATGGGTCACTAGGGACTTTTTCTATGACTGGTTACACCAAGCATTTGCCCCCAATGTGAAAGATTACCTAACTGAAAAGAAATTAGACCTTAAGTGCCTCCTGGTGTTAGACAATGCCCCTGGTCATCCTACAGACATGGCAGAGCGACTTTATGGGGACATGAGCTTCATTAAGGTGAAGTTTTTGCCTCCTAATACCACTCCTCTCCTGCAGCCCATGGACCAGCAGATTATTGCAAACTTCAAAAAACTGTACACAAAAGCTCTGTTTGAAAGGTGCTTTGTAGTGACCTCAGAAACTCAATTGACTCTAAGAGAGTTTTGGAGAGATCACTTTAATATCCTCAATTGTGTAAACCTTATAGGTAAGGCTTGGGAGGGAGTGACTAAGAGGACCTTGAACTCTGCTTGGAAGAAACTGTGGCCAGAATGTGTAGACCAAAGGGATTTTGAAGGGTTTGAGGCTAACCCTGGGAATCCCATGCCAGTTGAGGAATCCATTGTGGCATTGGGAAAGTCCTTGGGGTTGGAGGTTAGTGGGGAAGATGTGGAAGAGTTGGTGGAGGAGGACAATGAAGAACTAACCACTGATGAGCTGCTAGATCAACTTCAACAGCAAGAGGCCAGACCTGAGGAAACTGCTTCGGAGGAGGGGAGAGAGAAATTGAAGAAGTTGCCTACTTCAAAGATTAAGGAAATGTGTGGAATGTGGCTTAAAGTGCAAACCTTTTTTGATGACAATCACCCTAACACAGCTATTGCAAGCCGTGCTGGTGACTATTACACTGACACTGTTGTGAAACACTTTAGGAAAGTCATAAAGGAACGAGAGGTACAGGCCACTATGGACAGATATGTTGTGCGACAGAAGTCCAGTGACTGAAGCTGGTCCTAGTGGCATTAAAAGAAGAAGGGAAGTAACCCCAGAAAAGGACTTGACACCTCAAGTCTTAATGGAAGGGGATTCCCCTTCTAAACACTAAGACTCTCTCCTCCTCCCATCCCATCAATCATCACCAGATCTTCAATAAAGGTAAGTGTCATGTAACTGTGCATGTCTTTTTCAGTTTGTGTGTATTAAAATTAATATTTCATGTGGTAAAATTTTTTTTTTTCATACTTTGGGGTGTCTTGCACGGATTAATTTGATTTCCATTATTTCTTATGGGGAAAATTCATTCGCATAACGATAATTTCACATAACAATGAGCTCTCAGGAACGGATTAATATCATTATGCGGGGGTCCACTGTATATGCTTCTAAACTGTTGTGTCCTGAGCACCTCTGCAAAAACAGTGATTATGTGTGAGTGAGGTGAAAGTGTTGAATGATGATGAAAGCATTTTCTTTTTGGGGATTTTCTTTCTTTTTGGGTCACCCTGCCTCGGTGGGAGACGGCCGACTTGTTAAAAAAAAAAAAAAAAAAAAGATACTGTAACCTCATGACTAAGCCTTACTGCTGAAGTAATCAACTAGGAAATTTATATAACCTCATAAGAAGCAATAACTAACCTCTGAATCCTTTAAGCGGACAAAAAATTGGTACAAGTCAAATGGAGACGTTTTACTACTGTCCAGCCATACAGGATTGCCTGCAGATTTCCCAAACTTGTCACCAATTTCGTTGGTTATTAAAGGTATTGTAAAACCTGTAAGAGGAATAGTGGGATTTTCATCCAAATAAGGAACTACTGTATCTCATTATATTATGGTAAATTACAGTAAACTCTCAATTTAATGGACTCATAGGGGGAGAGAGCATATGGCCAGTAATGGCAATTGAGCTAGATGGATGGATTGTCTTACATTAATCGTAATAAAACTTTGGCCTTCATTTCCAAATCAACTGACCTTGCTGATCGTGTCCATCATTTGAAAAATCTATTAAAATGAGGTCCATTAATTCGAGTTTATTGTAATTTATATAAAAAAACTGACGAGTGACAAGTACTCTAGAAGCCATGCCAGTTAATAAGATTTACTCACAAATGTTTTAAGTGTTATAGAAATGTAATAAAGTTGGTAGAATTACCGACAATATGTAAAGTAAAAGGACACAAGTGCAACTAATGTGACATTTTATTGTGGCAACGTTCGCTCTCCAGGAGCTTTATCAAGCCATTACAAACAATACATGGACACATGGACACAGAGGGTATATATAGGCTCAGAGTGAGGTGCAATACTAGTGGTGGTAGTAGTAGTAGTGACACAAGTTGTAGTAGTAGTAGTGACACAAGTTGTAGTAGTAGTAGTGATACAAGTTGTAGTAGTAGTAGTAATACAATATGGTAGAGCAATTAATTCGTACATGAGTAAAAGGATATAAAAGCTATTACTTGGGTAACATAAAAATAGGTTGGACAAATATAGACTGGATAGAGGTAGCCTGTTTCAGTGTTCACTCTCTGTGATGTACGGAATCTTCAGGCAAGGCTCAACGCAGTTGAACCGGTGATCCAGTTTACACTAGAAGAAGAGTCCAATGACAAGCTACCTTTCCTCGACGTCCTCATTCACAAAGTAGACAACAACCTAAGATTTCAAGTTTATTGGAAACTGACCAATAAAAATGATCTCACACACTTCTATTCCAGTCAAGATACCAAGACCAAAAGAGGCATCATCATCAGGTTTTTCCTAAGAGCATACCGAATTTGTAGTCCTGAGTTTCTTGACGAGGAATGTACATACATTCACCAAACATTCACTGAGTTACATTTTCCTTCCTTTTTCATCAAAGACTGCAAGAAAAGAGCTCTTCAGATCATTAATTCTCCATGCACCAACACCACTCCCAACAAAGTTATAATTCTTCCTAACAGCCAGGTTGCACTGAACGTTTCTAAAGTACTTTCACAAGCTAACACCAGAGTCGCCATCGCTTCTAGCACTTCAATAAAGGATCTAACCAAAACAAAATCAAAGCACCATGAACCAGTCAACGCAGGAGTTTACACTATACCCTGTGGAGGCTGTGACAAGATTTACGTAGGTGAAACAGCAAGAAACCTCGACACCCGCCTCAATGAACACATTTACGCATATAGGAACGATAACTTGAACAACGCCTGTGTACAACACCGAAATTCCACCAATCATCTCATGAAATTCAGCCACGCCCAATTAGTGATCAAGGAAACTAATTTCCGCAGATGCAAGTGCCTGAATCAGCACTGATCGCTGTTTCGAATACAATTAAACAAAACAACGGCAGCTTCACCATCTCTGAAGTCTTAGCAAGAATCCTCCTGAAAACAGTAAACCCTGCCATCACATAGTCTCTCCTGTTATACTACACAAAGCACATTACAGAGAGTGAACACTGAAACAGGCTGCCTCTATCCAGTCTATATTTGTCCAACCTATTTTTATGTTACCCAAGTAATAGCTTTTATATCCTTTAACTCATGTACGAATTAATTGCTCTACCATATTGCATTACTACTACTACTACTACCACTAGTATTGCACCTCACTCTGAGCCTATATATACCCTCTGTGTCCATGTATTGTTTGTAATGGCTTGATAAAGCTCCTGGAGAGCGAAACGTTGCCACAATAAAATGTCACATTAGTTGCACTTGTGTCCTTTTACTTTACATGTTATAGAAACGGTCAGACTTTTCTATGCAAGTTAAGACACATGTGCAACATCTGGATATCTTTATTGTAGATGTTTTGCCATCCAGTGGCTTTATCAATACAGATTCTAGGATAAAATTAGAAGACAGTAGAACTATATACAAAAGATGAGGTAATCAGTCCCTCAGCCTTGGAGTTAGTGTTCACAGCATCGTGGTGGTGGAGAATCTGGAGCAAAGGCAAGGAGACTGGCGGTTATATAGGTGTCAGTGGACAGGGTATTTTATACCTTTCTTGCACAACTTGCCAGACACTGCAACATAATGGAATCTTGGTTCAGAGGACATCTACAAGACCTTCTTTATGGCTACTACAACTAACCCATCCCTTTGGGTAGGACCTACTTCCACTGGGGAATCCCGCCTACCAGTGACTATGCCCTCATCTGCTACACGTTCCTATCCACTGACACCTATATAACCGCCAGTCTCCTTGCCTTTGCTCCAGATTCTCCACCACCACGATGCTGTGAACACTAACTCCAAGGCTGAGGGACTGATTACCTCATCTTTTGTATATAGTTCTACTGTCTTCTAATTTTATCCAAGAATCTGTATTGATAAAGCCACTGGATGGCAAAACATCTACAATAAAGATATCCAGATGTTGCACATGTGTCTTAACTTTCATATTGTCAGTATTTTATACCTTTCTTGCACAACTTTTCTATGCAGCTATGTTGTATGGACCTTGGGGTGTAGCCCTTTAACTGATGATTATATGCTCAGTTCTGGAGATAATATACGTATAGTCAAAACTACAATCAAATTAATTTGGAGCTTACACAATGCACTGAATGAGAAATTATATTTCTATTTAGGATTTGAGGTGAAGAAATAAAGGCACAATTTATTAAACATTATACATGCTATATAAATTATTTTAATATGCTATATTCTCTACAATTGTGAATATTCATTAAATTCTGTATACAATTACATATTTAAATTATGAGTATGGGTTTGTGCAGAAATAATTAACATTTAATGAATGTGAAAGTTACAGCATTTTGCAAACATAAAATATACACTTAGCCATTTTTTCTTTAGCACACTGGCAGTTTCCTACAAAGGTAAGGTGACCCAAAAGAGGTAAAATGCATTTACTATGACTCATTCAACAGCTATCTTGCCAAAAGTGTTCAGACGTCATAATTCAAATGACTCTCTGCACTGCAACATTACCATTCCTCCATCAGATGCAGGTATTGTACTTTCCACTACCAAGACTCCAGTCCAAATTCTTAAAATGTAAAATTCACTCCACAACTTATTTACTAGAAACAGTCATTTAACACAGCTATGAGTCCTGCACAAGGTGAGGTAAGTGAGATGTTGTGTACAGGTATATGCATTAGTAAGCTAGATACAGCATATAAAGGAATGCTAGGTTTGGGTGTGGGGAAAGAGGCCAAAGGAATATGGAACTCAACCCCCATTTTACTATTGAAAACTGGATTCATCATAGCACGAATTCACAGTACAGAGCCCTGTCTCAAAGAGACACCCGTGCATTATATACGAGCAGAATGCACATTAAAAAATGACTACTTGCCTGTTACAGAAGCATTATTTACTCGGTAAATAAGCTGATGACCCGAATATATATTTCCCATCTGGTCATTACCTCCGATCTGAAAGAAATTATGGTTATAATTGAATTCATAATACATTTATGAAATCTCATTCATACGTTCAACATTTTAAATAGTATTTCCAACACTGCACAAGAGTATTTTGCAACTTCCTCTGATCACATTAACATCAGCATTGCCCTATCCATTTAAAATATTTTTCCAACTAGTAATATACCTCATCATACTATCCAGTACATTATTAGCTTTTACAGTATGCCAGTTTTAATATGATGACTAACAAATTTTAATAATTATTGCTAATCCCTTCAGTTTGCAATAACACTTACATTATATTGTTTGATTTTGTACATAAAAGCTGAAAAAATCTGGCATGCCATACCTGAATTGTGCAGTTATACTTGTCATATAGATAGAGCCAGTCATATGCTTGAAGAGCCTGGAAATATACAGAGAGAAGATATCTTTAAATTTTATGATCTACAACACAATATTAGCAACAAGATATTTAAATGTAGCAACACAAAAAAAAAAAATACAATGGCTTTGGAGTTACCCTGCCTGCATGAGTAATTCACTGATTTATACTCATTTATTTTTACAGAATTTGAATCTTGGCTCCTGACCTACCTCTTAAGCTACATTGACTGACACTACTAGTATAGTTTGTGACCTCTTGAGCCTTATCAAACACAATCTTGAAACTGTGGAGAATTTGCCTCTCCTTCCTCATCCAACTTATTTCATTTTTTCAACCATTCTGAGACTGAAGAAGTACTATACAGTGGACCCCCGCTTAACGATCACCTCCCAATGCGACCAATTATGTAAGTGTATTTATGTAAGTGCGTTTGTACGTGTATGTTTGGGGGTCTGAAATGGACTAATCTACTTCACAATATTCCTTATGGGAACAAATTCGGTCTGTACTGGCACCTGAACATACTTCTGGAATGAAAAAATATCGTTAACCGGGGGTCCACTGTACTTCCTAAGATCTCAGTGACTCATCTATGTCTTTAGCTTCTAATTGTGCAGCTTTGTCTCTGGTCCTCTGATTTATAATTCAATATCTGTTAACCCTGTCAATTCATCTTGGTATTTCGTGCATTATAATCATGTCTTCCTTTGTCCATCTCTTTCTAAGGACATCATGTTCAATTCTTTTAGTGTCACCTCATAAGGCATTCCTCTAAGCTCTGGGGCCAGTCTGGCTGAAAACCTTTAGACTTCTTAGTTTCTGCACAACCTTCATCAGGTAGAAGCTCCATGCCAGAACCCACAATCTATGAAGGACTTGAATTATACACTGCATATACTGAAAGATTCTTTGTTTAGGCATCTAAATGCCATTCTGAGGTTCACAAGTCTTGCATATCCTGGAGAGTGTACTTGTAGGGTGTTCTGGGAATCAATGCCCAAGCGGCCTGGTCCATGACCAGGCCTCGACGCTGATGTTGTACAAATGTATAACCTCTGCCAGTACATGTATATCACATGCTGAGACTTATCATATAATAAGAAAGACTTAAATTAAAGTAGAAACCCTGATTCAGTGGAATTTTTTTTTTTTATATAAATATTTTAGCATTGTGTGGAAATTGGTCATTAGCATTAATGACAAAATTCCATATATGTACAGTATGTTTTAGCTTAAACTTGAAGCAAGACAAAGTTTATCTACTATTGACTCCGGTTATAATAAAATTAAGCAATTATTTTACATGAGGGTACCTGGTATGAAAATTCTGTGAAGCTCAGGCCTTCAGCTGAATTAAGCCGAGATTTTACACTGGTGCGTGAGAGCATATCTCCCATTCTTAAATTTCGACCAGCAACACGCAGAAAGTCCACAACATTCAACCTTCTGTACCAGTGAAGATTATTCTCAATTCTGCAAAAACATATTATTATTAGAATGAAACATACAGTACTGTACTTCTGAATACATGACTGTTTTCAAAATTTACTAATATACTGTATATGTAAAATATGTTTTTTCTGTAACTAATACACATGTCCGCATGCACAGCTGTCTCTACGATGCTTATTATATTCTTCTCAAATGCTTAAAATAATCATTACAATATTTTCTTTCTTTCAACACACTGGCCGTATCCCACTGAGGCGGGGTGACCCAAAAGGAAAAATGAAAGTTTCTCCTTTTACTTCTTTCTTTCAACACACTGGCCGTATCCCACCGAGGTGGGGTGGCCCAAAAGGAAAAATGAAAGTTTCTCCTTTTACTTCTTTCTTTCAACACACTGGCCGTATCCCACTGAGGCGGGGTGACCCAAAAGGAAAAATGAAAGTTTCTCCTTTTACTTCTTTCTTTCAACACACTGGCCGTATCCCACCGAGGCGGGGTGGCCCAAAAGGAAAAAACGAAAGTTTCTCCTTTTACACTTAGTAATATATACAAGAGAAGGGGTTACTAGCCCCTTGTTCCTGGCATTTTAGTCGCCTCTTACAACACACATGGCTTACAGAGAAAGAATTCTGTTCCACTTCCCCATGGAAGGAAGAGAAAATAAACAAGAACAAGAACTAGAAAGAAAATAGAAGAAAACCCAGAGGGGTGTGTATATATATGCTTGTACATGTATGTGTAGTGTGACCTATGTGTAAGTAGAAGTAGGAAGACGTACCTGAAAACATGCACGTGTATGAGACAGGAAAAAAAAGACACCAGCAATCCTACCATCGTGTAAAACAATTACAGACTTCCGTTTTACACGCACTTGGCAGGACGGTAGTACCTCCCTGGGCGGTTGCTGTCTACCAACCTACTACCGTTTCCACTAATAAGTACAGTACTGTACAACATTACTAATACAGTACATAATGGTTATGGTACAATTAATTGAAAACCTTCACATAGTATGAGGTGTGTGAACACCCTGTACGAAGAAAAAAATTGTTTCAAGTAGCAGAAGAGTAAAGGCTCAAATGCATGTTATTATATTCATAGAGAAGTACTAAACCTGTAGATGTTTAGCAGTTTTTCCTGCGAAATGTGATATAATCAGGTTTGAGTCAAGGAAGAAAAAGGGAAGCTCCAATCATAAACATGATACCATGTATACTTGATTGTCTCAAATTAAAATGACATCTCAGCTTCAGTGTCAGGTATGGTAAACAATTTCCTTCTTGACAAACTCTAATTGTTGTGCTGTTATAGTGGATAATGTAGCAGCAGCAAAATATTAACAAAATAGTATTTTAAATAGATTCAGTATTTCCTCCAAAGAAGAGGAAATGTTACATGGTTTACTTTTAAATGTGAATAAGTCTAATGATATAAGTGTTTTAAGCATGTGAAAGAAACAGTGAAGTACAATGTACAGCAATATGTCATTCCAGTATGCAAAAAATCCAGAAAAGATTAAGCCCTGAAAAGTACTGCATGCATAAATGTGTTTGTGTTAGGGTTACTTGAAAAAATATTTGAACATAACAATTTACAACATACCTTAAAGGTGGCAACTGCTGGTCATTTCCTCTATCCCAAAAAAATTGTTGATGGTTGTCAAATATCTGATAGATATTCTTTGAAATTTTATCTGCATTATCTATTACCACATCTGTGTCAAGCAAAGGTCGTTCACTGCTTTTTCCACTAGGGTCACCCACTTGCGCTGTTGCTCCCCCAATCTACAATACAAATTGCTGTATATAATGAAAATTCAGATTTCTAAATGAAATAATTTTTTTTTTTAATATGCTAGCCATCTCCCATCGAGGCAGGGTGACCCAAAAAAAAAAAACACTTTCACCATCTTTCACACTATCACTGTCTTACCAGAGGTGTTCTGATATATGTAATATAGAAATTAAAAATAGTCCTTTTCTGTAGGTATCAGAATATTAGTTTGTGTGTAAAATACACACATATGTACACATAATTAATTTGACAACTGTTTCACTTAGTCCTGTATTGAAGAAAAATTAAAAACAAATTTAACTTACAAGAGCAATAACATTGTGTCCAGCCCTCTGACAATGAAGAAGGGCCATTAAAACTAACAAATTTCCCACATGCAAAGAGTCAGCAGTGGGATCAAACCCACTGTACATTGTTTGTGGTCTTCTGGTCAGCTCTTCCAATAGCTTGTTAGTGCTGAAAACAGAATAGATGCAAATTAGCATGTGGGAAAAAATATACTAAATGACATTATTGGAGAAGGCACTGCTAAACAAAATTAAAACTATAGAACCACATAAATCAGTATTTGAGGAACAATATGTTCTGTAATACGAAACCTCAGTATGATTCAGTTCTGCAAAAAAAATCATAACAAATTACAAAATTTCAATGGAGTGCCGAGTCCTAAGCTTCAGAATTCATCCTAACAAAATTTAACCACAATAATATACAGAATATACTTACTTTGAGTCAGGAAAGCGGTCAGCCCATAGTCCTCTTTCACGAAGCTTTAATATGTTGCGTGAAGTGTAGGTCCTACACAATAGTAGACACAATTTGTGATGTGCAAGGTGTGAAAACCACCCAGCTAACATGGGCCTTCTTATAGTATGCAACACAGGATACATCTTGGGAAAAAAATTATACATATATATCAATATATAAAACAAGAGAAAGAATGATGGGGAGAAGGGGTAGAAGGTAGGGGATACGAGTAAGGGGATATGAGAAAGGGCTGGAAGAAGGAGAAGGTAAAGGAGGTTTTAAGGAGTTTAGGCTTGAGCATACAGCCTGTCAAAAAGACTGATGCAATATAATTGAATTTGACAGCTCACTGCATTTGAATGGTTGTACAGAAATTGTTAACCTTCAGCAACTCACTAATTAATTACACAGGGACAAGGTATGGCCAAGTCTCATTCCTGAACTCATGCTAATATATTTTATGATGTTTTATAAGGGTGTGAAGCATGGGTGATGAATGTTGCAATGAGGAGAAGGCTGGAGGCAGTGGAGATGTCGTCTGAGGGCAATATGTGGTGTGAATATAATGCAGAAAATTTGTAGTTTGGAAATTAGGAGGAGGTGCGGGATTACCAAAACTATTATCCAGAGGGCTGATGAGGGGTTGAGGTGGTTCAGACATGTAGAGAGAATGGAACAAAAAAGAATGACATTGAGAGCGCATAAATCTGTAGTGGAGGGAAGGCGGGGTAGGGGTTGGCCTAGGAAAGGTTGGAAGGAGGGGGTAAAGAAGGTTTTGTGTGCGAGGGGCTTGCACTTCCAGCAAGCATGCGTGAGCGTATTTAATAGGAGTGAATGGAGACAAATGGTTTTTAATACTTGACGTGCTGTTGGAGTGTGAGCAAAGTAATATTTATGAAGGGATTCAGGGAAACCAGCAGGTCAGACTTGAGTCCTGGAGATGGGAAGTAGAGTGCCTGCACTCTGAAGGAGGGGTGTTAATGTAGCAGTTTTATAAGTGTAGGGTAAAGCACCCCTTTGGCAAGACAGTGATGTAGTGAATGATGATGAAAGTTTTTCTTTTTCGGGCCACCCTGCCTTGGTGGGAATCGGCCGATGTGTTAATAAATAAAAAATTACATGAAACATTTTTATTACATTTTCACTAAAATATTAGTCATTGCTAAATAAAGATGAAAGTACATATTCTGTTCAGTAGGCAACAATTAAACAAATACTGTAAACATAAACAGGCATAGAAATTTCAACAATCGAGCTGAATCAGAATGGTTGGAGTATGGCACAGATGACACGGTTAAAGACATAACAGTGGATTATTATTTTGTTGTTGTTGTTATTATTAATACTACTACTACTACTACACTCATGAGAAGCACTAATATAGGTCAACAGTGCTTGAAGGAATGGGAGGCATTCAAGTTTAATCCGAGGAAGGAAAGAACAGGTCTGATTCTTTGAATCAAGAGCCCTGCACTGGCATCAAGGAACCTCCTTTGAGAGGTAAGAGTAGACTGTGCAGGAATACCACCAAGATGCAGTTATCAGTTACTAACATTTCACTTGTGCAGCAAGCTTTATTAAGTGTGACAGATCATAAGAAAGTTTATTTAGGCACAGTAAACGTAAGTACAGTTTCATACAGCTTTGAGGTGTCCCATAGCTCAACTGCTAGCTCACTCAGTTCACACACTGAGGTCAATGGTTCAATCCCCGGTATGGTTGGAAACATTAGGACGTGTTTCCTTGACACCTGCTGTCCATGTTCACCTATCAATAAAATAGGTACCTGGGTGTAAGTCGACTGGTGTGGGTTGCATCCTGGGACAAAATTGACCAAATTTGTCCAAAATGCTCTGTGTTACAAGGGGCTTCCTGTATAGTAGTATATCATTGATGTCAGTTAGGCCTGTATACCTTGTACATGTACTTGTAAAAATAAATTATTATTAATATTATTATAGTAACATGTGTAAATTACCTAGGATAACCCAAAAAAAGTCGAAGTGGCTTATTTCTATAGTGGTAGCAAAACTTAGACTTTTGGCAGCCATCCATCTGTGGTATTACCCTGAGAATCTTGTTTTTCTGTAAGGTTATTCCTGTAAATTATTATTATTATAATTGGGGGGGAGCGATAAAGCCGTAGGATTATACAGCGCACGTGGGAGAGGGATGGAAGGTATTCAGGCTCAATTCAGGAAACCAGAGCACAGATCTAATTCCCTAGATCAAAAGCCCCTCACCAGCGTCAAGGAACCTCCCTTGAGGGGTGTTGCAAATTAAGGAAATATCAGAGTAACACTGCAGTAGGCCTATTGGCCTACACTGGGTGTATCTCCTTTGTATGGACTGTTGAAGCCACTGTGGCAAAACGTTTCCTCAAAAAAAGATACCCAATACCTGGATTATACCTGGAAAGGGTTTCGAGGATCAATGCCCCCATGGTCCGGTCTCTGACCAGGCCTCATGGTGGATCAGGGCCTGATCAACCAGGCTGTTACTGTTGGCCGCACACAACCCGACATACGAACCACAGCCCGGCTGGTGAGGTACTGACTTTAGGTGCCTGTCCAGTGCCTTCTTGAACACAGCCAGGGATCTATTGGTAATCCCCCTTATGTATGCTGGAAGGCAACTGAACAGTCTTGGGCCCCTAACACTTATTGTGTTGTTTCTTATCATGTTAATGACACCACTGCTTTTCATTGGGAAAATGTTGCATCGTCTGCTGAGTCTTTTGCTTTCATAGGGAGTGATTTTCGTGTGCAAGTTTGGTACTAATCCCTTTAGGATTTTCCAAGTGTCTAATTTATCATCTTGTCGGTTCTCTGAACCATTTATCTACATACATGCTGGAATGATTAATTCTGGTAGTACAAGAAATGGTAGTTCTTGCCATTGTTCCTGCTTCACTATCTATACATAATTTTTATTATAATCATAACTACTTAATTCCTTGCATGCCAATATGTCCATTATTACACTAACTGAAACCTGGCTAAAGCCTGATACTACAGATGTCTATGCCATTCCTGGTTACACAGCCATACACAACTGTAGGCCAGACCAACAAGGGGGTGGCACAGCTATATACTACTCAGACCAACTAGAATGTATCACTAATACTTGCACAAGGGATGAACATGGGGAATATATAATAGCTAAATTCAAATCCAAATACCTACAAAAACCTCTCTCAGTGATAAACATCTACAGAATTCCACAATCAAACATTAGCCAATTTAGTTCAAAACCTAGGAAGTATGATAACTGATGCACGCATGAACAAAGATCACTTACTACTCTCAGGTGACTTCAATATAAATCTCCTGCAAGACCAGGACCCACACGTTACTGAATTCACAAACACAATGAGTAACTGCATGTTGCTACCAACAGTAACAAACCTACAAGAGTTACAGAGACTAGTGTTTCCCTACTTGACCACATCTGGACCAACACCATATCCCCTTTAAAATCAGGCATAATTACAGATAATACCACAGACCACTACCCTACTTTCCTCATAACAACTCTCGGTAAAATACCCCAAGACACTACTAAAGTCACCTTCAGACTTCACAATGAGGCAGCCATTAATAACTTCACAACAGCAGTAACAAACATTGACTGGCACACTGAGCTAGAAATCTATACAGATATTGACGAATGTTTTAATAATTTTCTAAAAAAGACCCAATACCTTTATAACAAGCACTGCTGAGAATGCTGGCTAACACCCAGCATTCTCAAATCCATAAATACAAAACACCAATATGAAAAACAGTACAGAATGGGTCACATAACCAGAGACCAAACAAAACGTTACTCGTCAATCCTAACCAGCCTGATAGAAGGGCAAAAAAATTGTATTATGAGAACAGATTATCCAACTTACGAGGTGATATAAAAAAGACCTGGAAGACCCTATCAGAAATTCTGGGAACAAAAAAGATATCATGACATAGCAAAATAAAATTAGCAAAATCAGATGAACCCCAACTCCCACCAACAGAAACAGCAAACAGACTCAATGATTTCTTCTCCACTATAGGTCAAAAACCTTGCCAATAATATCCCAAGCTCAGATACCCCACCAAATGACTACCTCACTGGCAACTACCCGAACACACTGTTCCTAGCTCTGACTAACCCATACGAAGTCTCCCTTATTATCAATACACTGAAAAACAAGGCAGGAGATTTAAATACCTTACCACCCTTTATATACAAAAAAGCGTCACAAGTACTATCACCAATCATTGCAACACTCTTTAACAAATCCATTGAATCCTCCACCTTCCCTACAGTTCTCAAAATAGCAAGGGTCACCCCGATCCATAAAGGAGGAGACAAAACAGAGCTGAATAACTATAGGCCAATATCCAATTTACACCCTCTCTCAAAAATCTTCGAAAAATTAATTCATAAACGAATCCACTCCTACCTCATCTCCCATAACATTCTCAACCCCTGCCAATTTGGATTCAGGCCTAATAAAAATACTAATGATGCTATTATACACATGCTAGAACATATATACACTGCAATAGAGAAAAAAGAAGTCCCACTGGGGATCTTCATTGACTTACGTAAAGCTTTTGATACAGCTGACCATGACTTGCTCCACGTAAAATTGTCACACTATGGTATTAGAGGGCACTCCCTCAACTACCTCATGTCATACCTCAGCAACAGAAGCCAATATGTGTACGCAAATGGGGCAAGCTCTTCCGCACAACCAATTACAGTTGGTGTCCCACAGGGAAGTGTCCTTGGCCCTCTTCTCTTTCTCCTATACATAAATGACCTACCAAATGCTTCGAAAATTACTCAAACCCATACTTTTTGCAGATGACACCACATACGTCTTCTCTCCACTCGAGCCCAGTCACGCTAGCCAATACTGGTAAACACCGAATTACAGAAAATATCTACCTGGATGAGGACTAACAAACTTACACTAAACATTGACAAAACCTACTTCATTCAGTTTGGTAGCAGAGCTACAGATGTACCTCTTAACATAACGATAAACGGATCACCTATCACAAAAGCTAACAGAGGGAAAATTCTTAGGAATCCACCTCGATAACAGACTCAAATTTCATACACATATACAACAAATTTCTAAGAAAATTTCCAAGACTGTAGGCATACTATCGAAGATACGGTACTGTTCCACAGTCAGCCCTCCTGGCCCTTTATCACTCTCTTATTTACCCCTATCTCACCTATGGAATTTGTGCATGGGGCTCAACAACAATTAACCATCTCAGACCACTAATTACCCAACAAAAGGCTGCAGTTAGAATGATAACAAATTCTCACTACAGGCAGCACACTCCACCAATATTCAAAACACTCAACCTACTCACCATACAAAACATCCATACTTATTATTGCACTTATTACATACATAAAACACTTAACTCTGATATTAACCCTCCCCTCAAACATCTCCTTGCCAACCTCAACAGAACACATGACCATAACACAATAACACAGATCACTCTTTGATGTTCCTCGTGTCCATCTCACGCTATGCAAAAACTCAATGCACATAAAAGGCCCTAAAATCTGGAATTCATTACCTGTAAATATAAAAGAAACACTACCTGTTTATAAATTCAAGTCTCTTCTCAAAGATCACTTACTCACCCAAAACCAAATAAATACTGAATAACTGAACCTTATAAATTGTATATCCTAAATGTTACTCACAATTATATCACACAAATGTTATACCTAACTTTGTTATTTTTTTAAATACACTACCTAACAGAATACTCCATTCTACTGAATGAACAGCAATGCAAGCAACCATAGGACCTGTCTTTGTAATACTCATTTGTATTTTATAGTTATCTGTTTACAATAATGTCTTATCACTGATTTCATCATTGCTTAGTTAATCTTAAGTTAATTTTAAGCCAGCCCGTAATGCTATGCATATAAGTGGCTTTGGCATGCTGCTCTTACCTGTATTTTTTGTACCTCTGTTTGTATGCTAAAATTTCTAAATAAATAAATAAATAAATAAAATAAATAAATAAATAACTAAGCACTACACTTATAGGGGTCATACACTATTTGTACAGCTAAAAGCTTTTGCCAATTAGCAGCTACCTTAGTTGTTCCTGCTTCACTATCTGTACAGCTAAAGATTTTGCCAATTAGAATCTACCTTGTGTGTTACTATAGTCAAGGAAACAAGTTGAACCTCTTCCCTAAGTTATTGTTGGGGTTAGTAAGGGTCACCAAAGTGTTCTCCTTATTATAGACTTTTTATTAAGCTCTGCCTCCCATGAGTCCGGGGTAAAATGTGTTGACCAAATAAAGACGGAAATTATAAAGTAATCAGTTTCTTCAAGAAAGAAAGAGAGAAAATAAAAGATAAGTTCATAGTTAGATCAAGTGGACCCCGGCATAACCAGACGCCCATATACAACCCCCCCCCCCCCCATGTCACAAACAGATCTATCTGAACAGGTAGATATGTTTGTGACTTGGGTGGGCGAAACGTAGTAATAAGGGATAGGATTATATTGCATTTGTGTCCATTTTTCCATCGTGTCAGTATTTTATACCATTTATCGCCATACGATTCCCATTTGAGTCAATAACAACAGGGCATTTTATAAACTAGGACCTAATGAATGGCACTCTGACCAAATGCTCAGCAGACTGAATATAAGGACAGACCTCCAGGAAAGAAAATTACTGAACTTGTCCCAATGCTCAGGACCAGATAGAAGGAGACGTCTACATTCCACCAACGCCAGTGATGAAGTCAAGCCAATAAGTCTGTGGTACGGTTGATGTTAGCATTGCTGGGATTAAGGGCCAACAATGTTGACCATATTGAATCTTGTCTCCCACTGTCCAAGAAGGAAATGTAGCTTATTATAACTGTGTAACCTGTATTGAAAGCTACCCATAATTCTCTCTTCATCGCCGATAATTAGGAGTTTGTTGTACTCGTCTAGAATTCTGTTGTCAAACCAATACTTCTCTTTATCTCTCCTTGGTCTAAATTTTTCCATCTTGAATTCATTGCTACGAATCCTGTCTTGGATACATATTTACAGCACGTTATGTCCTCTTTATTTATTCCTATTTTGTATTTACATACTTCAGGGAAATAGCCGATATTTTGTGTCCCTATAATTATGCTGATTGATAAGTATTTTATTATTCCATTCTGAGAAGGAAGGGGCACTAGACCCTTGTGGGTCATACCATGCCTGAGGACTAGGAAATAATCAAATTTCATATATAGAGATGAAGGATAACTTTAATTCCTCTACCATCTGGAACCATAAAACTCATAGGGTCATGGATGGAAGGTCCTTCGACCTTGGTCACTTCGTTTGGGGTGGCCAATCAATTATTACAATCAAAACTAAGTGCTAAACCCACAAGGGTCATACAGCTTGGAGTGGCCAGGGTCCCAGCACCGAAATGTTCTATTAAGATGTCCCAAGTCCTTTAATCTATATTGTTGGTATTGTTATACACTGGTTTCATATGGTCATACAGCTCCTTCGGAAATTGGAGGAATTATAACTATAATCGTAACTAAACACTAAACCCAACAAGGGTTATACAGAGCTGAGGAATGGGAGAAATCACTACAATTCATGGGAGATCAGGTCCTTTTCCTTGAATCAAGAGCCCCTTACCAGAATGTAGAAACCTTTCTTGTGGGGTCTTGATATTGATCTTTTGGACCTCTTGGTGGGGATAATTTATATTATTATTATAATCAAGGGGAAGCGCTAAACCCGGAGGATTATACAGCGCCTGGGGGGGGGGGATGTGGAAGGCATTCAGGCTTAATTCGGGGAACTGGTGCACAGATCCAATTCCCTAAATCAAGAGCCCCTCACCAACATCAAGGAACCTTCCTTGAGGGGGGGGATAATTTATAGTTGCCATTCCTGGGAACATTCCAGTGATGGATGGAGGGAGCAAAAGAAGCTTGGAATTTTAGGATTGTGCACCAGTAGGCTTGTCTGAATGTGTTGGATAGGAGTTAACAAAGACAAATGACTTTTAATGGAAGTGCTGTTTGTGCGAGATTATTATTATTATAATCAAGGGGGAAGCGCTAAACCCGGAGGATTATACAGCGCCTGGGGGGGGGGGGATGTGGAAGGCATTCAGGCTTAATTCGGGGAACTGGAGCACAGATCCAATTCCCTAAATCAAGAGCCCCTCACCAACATCAAGGAACCTTCCTTGAGGGGTGTTTGTGCGAGAGTCAGGTAACTTTTATGAAAGGATTCAGGAGAAACAGGTCAGCTGGACTTCATCCCTAGAGATGGTAAGGGTAGCACTTGCATTCTAAAGGAGTGGGGATGTTGTAGTCGAAGGATAATGTAATTGTGATTACTATTATTAGTATTACTATGGGGTAGTGCCAAACCCATAGGGATTATACAGCACCTGTGGGGAAAGGGGATGAAAGGCATTCAGGCTTAGTTCAGGGAACTGGAGCACAGATCCAATTATCTAGATCAAAAGCCCCTCACCAACATCAAGGAACCTCCCTTGAAGGGTTCTAATTGTGATGTCAGCAGACTTCTGCAAAGACAGCAACTCAATGAACATTTAATGTGTTTTCTTCTTTAGGTCACTCTGCCTTAGTGGGAGACAGTGGCTAAGTTAGGGGGATTCTGAAGACATATTGCAAAGGTTGGTGGATAAATTTGGGAGAGTATGTCAAAGGAAATTAAAAATGAATGTAGAGAAGAGGAAGGTGATGAGTATAGCAAAAGTTTAGGTAATGACTGAATATCAGATTGGAGGGTGGGGGGAGGGGAAAGTATGGAGAAAATGGATGCATTTAGATATTTAGGGATGGACATATCCACAGATGGGACTATGAAAGACAAGGTAAACCATAGAGTAGATGAGAAAAAGGTGGGTAGGGGGTTGAAGTATACGAAGAAAGTAAAAAAATTATCTATGTAGGCAAAAAAGGGGGAAGTACCCAAGTATAGCACTTTTATATGGGCATGAGGGATAGATTTTGAATGCTGCAGTGAGGAGGCTAGACAGTGGAGATGTCATGTTTAAGAGCAATTTGTGGCGTGAATATCATGCAGAGAATTTGGCTCACAAAAATTTAAAGGTGATAACAAGTCACAAAGGAGGGATTGGTGAGGTAGTTTGGACACTTTAAAAGAGGATGACAGTGGGTGTATAAATCTGGGGCAGAAGGTAGAAGGGGTAGGGGTCGTCCCAGGAACAAATTGGTGAAACACGCATACAGCATTTGGGAGGAAACTGGAGGTAACCATTTTGGATCCAAGGAATTGGTGTTACCTCTAATTCCTTGAATCAAGATCCCTTCACTTGCATCGAGGCACCCTCCTAGGAGGATCATTATTTCAAATATCATTCCCAATATATTTACAAAATTTCTAAAATATTTCCCTAAAAATACAGGTCGAGTAATTTTGAGTAATAAAATTCCATTTAGGATATTTTATAATCCGTATGTATAAATATATGTGTAAATAAACTATAATTGTCTTCTGGGATACAAGTCATTCACTTGCTAGAGGCTGGGTTATATAACTCTCGTGATTACTATGTTTATGGGAAAGCGCTAAACCTGTAAAGGTCATACAGTGACTAGGAAATGGGAGGTGATCAGGTTCAGTCCAAGAAGAGGATAGCTCAGATTCCTTGGATCAAAAGCTCTTCATCGACATCAAGGCACCCCATGAAAGGAGCTCATGTTAAAATAAAATGCATAAAGCCTTAAAATATATTTATTCCTTTATAATTTTATCTACAAAAAATGATCACATAGCACATGACAAGTGACAGGATTATACCTATATGACATACTTGCATGAAATGAAATGATTGGTGAAATAATTTGCATTGGTCCATAACAAAATAATGAGGCACTGTATTCAGTGTCATCAAGCACTGGAATACTGACTGAATATATGATACCATAATCACACGTGGAAATATCTTCAAATTTTAACATGAAGATTTATATATTAAATTTATATTTAACTTATAAATAAATATATCAGGCTCCAGATTTTTCCTTTATGTTATTTTCAGCATAATCACAATTTTCCAGGCATGAAGGAAAAATAATGTTCTATCAATATCAGCTTTGAAGAACATCATATACACTTTTAAATATAAAGGAAATTATGATACAAAAATTATACCATTTACCAAAGAAAATGAGGAAATAGAAATTTCCTATAGCTAAACTGCTCAAATTACTGAAATTTTTAATTGCCTTTGTATATTTAAGAAATAATCTTTATAAAATTAATATTTTAAGTTATAAACTTTAATAACTTAGTAGCAAAAGCAAACCCATCAGGCATACTGTTCAAAATCCATTATCCCATTCTAGTTCAGCAGGGCATCAGCTCGAGGCCCTGCAGTGGCCATCTCATGCTGTTCCCTTGCTATACTACAGAGATGAATCACTCTCACACAGTGCACCTTACACACTATACCACGAGACTGCAGAAGCCTGCCCTCTCCCTCCAGCCACATATCAAACTTACATCATTTTAGAAAAGAAATGTACTGTATTGCACTGCTCATAAGGTCTCCAGGATAGATATGAAGGTAACTTTGTCCAGTCCAAAATAAAGGACGAGGTTCTAGGGTAGTGGCGGCATCTACGGCTGTGGCAGGTCCCCCCACCCAGCACACAGGATAGCTTACATGGATAGAATTAACCCAGTAAGCTTCATCCACTTGAGGTGACACACCTCAAATTAAATAATAAGAATGCACCCCAGTTTTTTATGTTATCACTCTAACTCAAGATCATCCCTCAGTCTCTTTCTACTTTGCCCAAGGTTCACAACAACAGCTTGGGAGTTACTGTTGCGCTTCCCCCCAGGGTCGGAGTAGTTGTTGGATACACGGTCTACCATAATATCCATTATTCTATTTGATAATTTTGTACCAGAGCCATCGTCTGGTGGAAACCCTCCCCCAGAATCCGGTTTTCCATGTTGTGGTGGAAAATCATCCAGTGGTGGTACGTGATAGGCAGGGCTCTTTGAAAATGTGCATTGTCGCTTGGCTGCTGGAGTGTAGTCATGATCAGTTAGAGCCTGCACCAAAGGTTTGTCAAAGTCAGAGGTCAGTTCATCATCAACACCCTCTAAAACTTCCAGGGTACTGGGTACAAAAGCACCATTCCCAGCCTCTAGAAGACTACGTGAATGCCCTGGAAAAGTAATTATGATGTAAAAACTTAACATGAAAAATATTTTATCAATTATATCAGAGTACAAATATGCACAATTATGATTTTTTAGTATAAAACCATTAAGAAGAGTCCTCTAGCATACTAAACCAGCATGATTTTTGCAATGTAAGTGTAGGTAACAGAGAATGATGCTGAAGGTCATCTTGAACAAAGATATTGGATTAAGCCTTTCCTTCCTTATATCAAATTTTATTACCCTCCATTCTTCATGAATTGTATGATTCCCTACAGGTTGAGTGCTTCCTCCTAATATAACAATGCACAAAATGAAACACTGAATGATGCTCAAAATGCAATAATGTTTGCTAAAACAATACACAGAAATTGCAAAATACGAAAAACAAAAGTAAACAGCAAGAAATCGATAATACCCTTATGCACACAACCCACCACTGAAAAATACCTGGGAAAGAAGAATTTTACAGACTGAAGGTACTTCACAGGAATCTTGATCCAAAAAACTGAAGCTATCTTCTATTTCTCTGGACTGAATCCAAATACCTCCTATTCTCTAAGGCTTTCTATGACCCCTACTGATTTAGTGGTCTCCAATGAAATAAATAAATATAGAGTATATGAAGGACTGCATAACACATTAATGGAACTAATAAAATGCAATCAAGCTAATGTTCAAAGTCATGATATGGGAGTACGTATCTGTCACTGTGGATTGCACAAGCAGTGCTAGCGTTATGAGAGAACCAAGCATATCTTTGTTGTTGAATGTTCGTGCTTGTATCCCTAGATGTTTCGCTTAAATTAATCTAGCGAGCCTCCAAAATAAATAGTGTAGAACCCATAACGACAGTCCTGATGCAGGGAGCAGTTATCTTAATGTCCCAAATTACTGTATTTGAGTTGTAAGATAACCAATTCCAATACCCCTTGACATTAACACAGTTCAGTGATACAGTGATCCACAAATATTTCCTACCTGCTGAGGGCATTTTGGATGCAGGCAGGGACAGTTCACTGTCTGATGTGGCTGTATCTTGTCGTAGTGAGGGAACAATGAACAGTGCTGCTGACAGTATTAACATCATGAAAGCAGTAGACACGTGTGCTTGAGGACGTCCACTACTTCCACCGGTAACAACATTCTGGAACCGCCGCATCTGTACCAGCAGCGATTCATTTTGTGCCTCTAAGGTACGAATCCTTTTCTGAAGTTGTTGGTTCTCTTCTGTGCAAGCTTTTACCCTAGCAAGTAAAAAGCAAATTATTTACAAAATGAAAGAAATGTGTTTATGATCAAGCATGAAGTGGGGTGTATAAATTTCTATACAATGCTGTAGATACAAGAGTGTAATCATCAAACAAATTATAAATTTCCTGGGATTGTAGCAAATTACGCTCTCAGTATATTACAGTTGTAATGCTCAAGATTAAATAATAACAATGTTTTGAGAAGTAACATACTCGGTAACAACTGTAATGTTATAATATTCCTTGTACACAGCCTTAGAAGACCAAATTGTATAAAAAAAAAAAAAAAAAAGATTATACAGTATATTTTGTATTTCCTCATTTTTGAAGTGCTAAAGCACCTTGAAATACATCTAGTATCATAAGAAAACTGGTATACACAAGTGTTAAATATTAAAAGCAATTAAAAAACAAAAACAATCATATTTTGGTATCAGTAATTGAAAAATGTAAATATCGCTGGTGCTTGTATGCCACTGTTGCAGGTAAGTGATAATTTTTTCACTAACTTCAATACACCATAAAATCTTAAGTTTTTAAAAGATTCCACTCATTTTAGTCTTATTCAATTCAGAAAAATGCACTCCATCGAACCATAAGAAAAAATAATTTTTTTTTTTTTTTTCAAAATCTTGCCACACCACCAGGATTTTTTCTGCCCACTTGCCACAGCTAAGGGGTTTACTGTCTGAATCAGGTATTTCACAGAGCATCCTCAATGACAAAATGAGAAAGAAAAAAGTATTGTTTTTCAAAGAATTATGATAGTAAAAAAATTTCTTTGGGTTTTTTTGAAGGTCTGAGGAATGAAACCCTATTTTCCCATATGTTTTTCACAACAAAAATCACACAACTCATTGGCAGCACAGTTTCCAGGAATGCAACAAGCATGAGCTATGAAAGTCTATTGTACACAACTGATACCAACAGTAGGACACTACAGCTTAAGAGCTGATCATGTAGGTACAAACAGATAATTACACATGAATGCCATGTGATGTTAGGGAGTCTTGTCAGTAAGTTCGTGGCAGCAGCAGGGGCCCTTCACATATATATTTCACTACCAAAATGAGTTTTTAAACCATATATACATTCATAGCCCAATGGTAATGAGTGCACCTAACCAGACCAGATCATGGGACCAACCTTCAGTACTCCTTAAAAACATTTTACTAGTACTCCTACCTGTCTTCTAGTCCATCAATATATTCTTTCTTGCGTTTACGAGAGTCCTGCGCAGAGATCTTGTTGCGAATCTTCCGCCTAATTCGTTTCAGCTCTCTTTCTTCTTGTTTTGTCAGGGGGTAGTGTGATGGAAGTAGGATTCCCTCTTTCTTTAGCAGCCTCTTCTCCTCATCTGAATATAGAAAATTACTTTTTTTTAATAAAGTACAATACTACAAAATTAATATGGAGAATACAGAAAAATACTCCTGGTTATGAACCTTGTAAAACACAATACAGGTTTACAGTAGAGAAAAGATAAAAGACAGGGAGAAGAAAAAGAAGGGGAAGAGAGAAAAGAGAGAGATATGTACATGTGTGCACACACGTACTCGCCTATATGTAGTTGTAGGGGTTAAGTCTGAGCTCCTGGCCTCTTCACTGATCTCTACTAGGTTCACCCTCTCCCGGGTTTGAGACCCATAGCGTACCTCTTCTTAAAACTATGTATGGCTTCTGCCTCTACCACCTCACTCTCCAGGTTGTTCCACTTCCTGATTACTCTAAGGCTGATGAAATAGTTTCAAACATGCCTGTGATTCATTTGAGTTTTAAACTTAAGGTTGAATCCTCATGTCCCTGTTGTCAATTTCTCAGTCTGTCCCTATTCACCCTATCAATTCCTCTCTGCATTTTGTATGTTATTATATCACCCCTAGCCCATCTGTCCTCCAGTGTCATCAGGACGAGTTTCCTCATAGGATATTGTACCCCTTAGCTCTGGAACTAGTCTCGTTGCAAACCTCTGCACTTTCTCCAATTTCTTGACATGCTTGACCAGGTGTGGGTTCCATACTGGTTCTGCATATTCCAATATGAGCTTGACATACACAGTATACAGTGACATGAAAGACTCCTTACCTAGATATCTAAAAGATAGTCTCAGATGTGGATGTACTCACCTATTTATTCTCACCTATTTGTGGTTGAATGGGTCGATTCATAGCTCCTGGCCCTGCCTCTTCAATGATTGCAACTAGGTTCTCTCTCTCTTTCTCTCTCTCACTGCTCCATGAGCTGTATCAAACCTCCTCTTAAAACAATGTATGGTTCCTGCCTCCACTACGTCAATTTCTAGACTATTCCACTTCCTGACAACTCTGTGACTGAAGAAATACTTCCTAACATCCCTGTGATTCATCTGAGTCTTCAACTTCCAATTGTGACCCCTTGTTGCTGTGTCCCATCTCTGGAACATCCTGCCTCTGTCCACCGTGCGGATTCCTCTCAGTATTTTTTATGTCATCATATCCTCTCCTCTCTCTCCTGTGTGTGTGTGTGTGTGTGTGTGTGTGTGTGTGTGTGTGTGTGTGTGTGTGTGTGTGTGTGTGTGTGTGTGTGTGTGTGTGTGTGTGTGTGTATGTGTGTGTGTGTGTGTGTATGTGTGTGTATGTGTGTGTATGTGTGTGTATGTGTGTGTATGTGTGTGTATGTGTGTGTGTGTATGTGTGTGTATGTGTGTGTATGTGTGTGTGTGTGTATGTGTGTGTGTGTGTATGTGTGTGTGTGTGTGTGTGTGTGTGTGTGTGTGTGTGTGTGTGTGTGTGTGTGTGTGTGTGTGTGTGTGTGTGTGTGTGTGTGTGTGTGTGTGTGTACGTGTGTACTCGCCTAATTGTGGTTGCAGGGGTCGAAAATAAGCTCCTACCCCGCCTCTTCATTGACCGCTATTGGGTCCTCCCTGTCCCTGCTCCATGAGCTTTATTATACCTCGTCTTAAAACTATGAATGGTTCCTGCCTCCACTTGCCAAACTATTCCAATTCCTAACAACTCTGTGGCTGAAGAAATACTTCCTAACATCCCTCTGACTCATCCGAGTCTTCAACTTCCAACTGTGACCCTTTGTTTCTGCCCTATCTCTGGAACATTGTGTGTGTGTGTGTGTGTACGTACTCACCTAATTGTACTCACCTAATTGTGGTTGCAGGGGTCGAGACTCAGCTCCTGGCCCCGCCTCTTCACTGATCACTACTAGGTCCTCTCCCTCTTTGCTTCCTGAGCTTTGTCATACCTCTTCTTAAAACTATGTATGGTTCCTGCCTCTACTACTTCACTTGCTAGGCTATTCCACTTCCTGACCATTCTATGACTGAAGAAATACTTCCTAACGTCCCTGTGACTCGTCTGAGTCTTCAGCTTCCAGTTGTGACCCCTTGTTTCTGTGTCGCCTCTCTGGAACATCCTATCTCTGTCCACCTTGTCTATTCCCCGCAGTATTTTGTATGTCGTTATCATGTCTCCCCTGACCCTTCTGTCCTCCAGTGTCGTCAGTCCAATTTCCCTCAACCTTTCCTCGTACGACATTCCCCTGAGCTCTGGGACTAGCCTTGTTGCAAACCTTTGTACTTTCTCTAACTTCTTGACGTGCTTGACCAGGTGTGGGTTCCAGACTGGTGCTGCATACTCCAGTATGGGCCTAACATACACAGTGTACAGTGTCTTGAACGATTCCTTATTAAGGTATCGGAACGCTATTCTCAGGTTTACCAAGTGCCCGTATGCTGCAGCAGTTATTTGGTTGATGTGTGCCTCCGGTGACGTGCTCGGTGTTATGGTCACCCCAAGGTCTTTCTCTCTGAGTGAGGTCTGTAGTCTTTGTCCACCTAGCCTATACTCTGTCTGCAGTCTTGTTTGCCCCTCCCCAATCTTCATGACTTTGCATTTGGCAGGGTTGAATTCGAGAAGCCAGTTTCTGGACCACATGTCCAGCCTGTCCAGGTCTCTTTGCAGTCCTGCCTCATCCTCATCCGATTTAATTCTTCTCATCAGCTTCACATCATCTGCGAATAGGGACACTTCAGAGTCTATTCCTTCCATCATGTCGTTCGCATATATCAAAAATAGCACTGGTCCTAGAACTGACCCCTGTGGGACCCCGCTCGTCACAGGCGCCCACTGTGATACCTCTTCACGTACCATGACTAGTTGCCTCCCTGTCAGGTATTCCCTGATCCATTGCAGTGCCCTCCCTGTTATATGCGCCTGATCCTCCAGCTTCTGCACTAATCTCTTGTGGGGAACTGTGTCAAAGGCCTTCCTGCAGGCTAGGAAAATGCAGTCAACCCACCCCTCTCTCTCGTGTCTTACTTCTGTTACCTTGTCATAAAACTCCAGAAGGTTTGTGACACAGGATTTGCCTTCCATGAACCCATGCTGGCTTTCATTTATAATCTTGTCCCGTTCCAGGTGCTCCACCACTCTCTTCCTGATAATCTTCTCCATGACTCTGCACACAATACATGTCAGAGACACAGGTCTGTAGTTTAGTGCCTCATTTCTGTTTCCTTTCTTAAATATGGGGACTACATTTGCTGTCTTCCATTTCTCAGGTAGTTGCCCAGTTTAAAGGGATGTGTTGAAGATTGTGGTTAGGGGCACACACAGCATCTCTGCTCCTTCTCTAAGGACCCATGGGGAGATGTTGTCCGGTCCCATCGCCTTTGAGGAATCAAGGTCACTTAGCAGCTTCTGCACCTCCTCCTCGGTTGTTCGTATGTCATCCAACACTTGTTGGTATATTCCCTCTTGATGTTCCCTTCTGTGCTGTCTTCCCAGAGCCCTTCCTGTCTCTACTGTGTGTGTGTGTGTGTGTACTCACCTAATTCTACCCACCTAATTGTGGTTGCAGGGGTCGAGACTCAGCTTTTGGCCCCGCCTCTTCACTGATCGCTACTAGGTCCTCTCCCTCTCTGCTTCTTGAGCTTTGTCATACCACTTCTTAAAACCATGTATGGTTCCTGCCTCCACTACTTCACTTGCTAAGCTATTCCACTTCCTGACGACTCTATGACTGAAGAAATACTTCCTAATGTCCCTGTGACTCGTCTGAGTCTTCAGCTTCCAGTTGTGACCCCTTGTTTCTGTGTCCCCTCTCTGGAACATCCTATCTGTGTGTGTGTGTGTGTGTGTGTGTACTCACCTAATTGTGGCTGCAGGGGTCGAGACTCAGCTCCTGGCCCCGCCACTTCACCGGCTGCTGCTAGGTCCTCTCTGCTCCCTGAGCTTTGTCATACCTCGTCTTAAAGCTATGCATGGTTCCTGCCTCCACTACATCACTTGCTATACTATTCCACTTCCTGACAACTTAATGACTAAAGAAATACTTCCTAACATCCCTTTGACTTGTCTGAGTCTTCAGCTTCAAATTGTGACCCCTTGTTTCTGTCTCCCCTCTCTGGAACATCCTGTCTATCCACCTTATCTATTCCACGCAGTATTTTGTATGTCGTTATCATGTCTCCCTGAACCTCCTGTGTGTGTGTGTGTGTGTGTGTGTGTGTGTGTGTGTGTGTGTGTGTGTGTGTGTGTGTGTGTGTGTGTGAGAGAGAGAGAGAGAGAAGAGAGAGAGAGAGAGAGAGAGAGAGAGAGAGAGAGAGAGAGAGAGAGAGAGAGAGAGAGAGAGAGAGAGAGAGAGAGAGAGAGAGAGAGAGAGAGAGAGAGAGCAAATATGTTAAGCCTCAGCTATGGTCATGTACAGGTAATGTACATCACGAAAGGCAACAAGTACAGGTACTACATATCGTTAATTAAAGAGCTCCATTTGTGGAAAATACTGTACATATTTTCCAGAAATTCAGTATTTATATGTATATAAATGGCCATACTGTATTTAATAACATTTATGTCATAGAAAATGGGAAACTGAGCCTGGGGAGAAGGGAGAGTCGCCATTGCAGTTTGAATTGAACAGACGTTAATTAATAATGGGAAGAATTTTTCGTGCTCTAGAGGTTAAAATTGGGTTGACACCTCTCAAATAGGAGGCGAAATTGTTGGATGTGCATTCCTGCATAACTTGAGATATCAGGCGACTGGACAACTCCAGGAACCTCAGATAAGTCTGTTATGTTATAACTCTGGCCAGTTGTTATTTTCATGTATAGACAGTGAGGTTTTCTGAGTATGATACACTTTAATCTCCAGTCAAATTGGTGAGTGATATTAAGAAATTCTCTTTCTGTTATATAAATGTGTGTATATATAATCCTTTTTTAATTTTAATATACAGTCCACAAATTTATATATTTACCAGCATTCCTGGTGTATGTATATTTCATTTAATTAATAGGTCCAGAGCAACTTGTGGATATGACAGTGGTAGGTATCGAAGGGGGACATTTTTGCGACCTAGGTG